GTAGTCCTAAGGAACTTAAACATCTTTTAAAAGGAGAGGTTGGAACAAAATGTGTGTGCAGGCCTATATGCTTTGAATGGCAGTCAGTCATCTCAGGGTGATCGGGTTCAAGCTGCCTTAAACCAGATCAATTGGACCGTACAAAAACACATGTTTGGCTGTTTTCCCGGTTCGGAGGATGGACACTTCCCGAGCATGTGATCACAAACTGAACACTGGACAGACTGCATGCGCGTGTGTGAGTGAAAGAGCGTGAACTGCTCCTGCCACGTATGCTGTAATCTGACGCCATCAGTTTAAAAACGGAACAAGAGAAACCGAGATGATGATGATGATGATAACGATGATGATTGTATATTTTAAGAAGTCACTGCGTTGGAGACACGGAAATTCTTAACGCTCATGGCTGTATATTAATATACTGATTACCTTAAGTAGTTGGTGTATATTTACCTATCACCTTAAGTAGTTGGTGTATATCTAACTATTACCTTAACTTATTGGTTCTGAAACGTTTCGTTTAAAGCCCCCATGTAAACCAGTCATTTTTATCAACCAAAAAAAATGGGAAAAATAGTAGCAAAACAAGCCAAACAGAATATAATTACATTAAAATAATGCTCTCCTGCTACATTGATGTTGACCATCAGGGAACAGACTGTCTTGAGTAAAATTTTACAATGTGTTTGTCGTTTGAGCATTAACTGCTTACCTGTGAAAAATATCAGTATTTTTCATGTCTGGGGAAAAAAACTAATTAATTTGAATCCCGGCCCCGCTAATATGTATGTTTGCTGTTTAACAAGGAGGTGGTCAGCCTAGCTGTTTTAAAGTTCAACAAGTAGGTGTGATGTTTACCATCTTAGTTTAGCATGTTAGCATGCTATTTTTTTTTTTTCACACAGTACTGCTGAGGCAAATGGGAATGTTTGTAGATATTAACCAAATGATTGACTCGATGATGGCGTAAAGAGGGGAACATGAATGGCTGAAAATTTGATGGCAAGACAATTGTTTGTTGAGAAATTTCACTCCAAACCATACACATCAGCCTCATAGACATCATGTTCCCATGATGAGATAGTGCTCCGACCCTGAGATAAGGTTAAAAGCTGCACGTGCTGTGTCTGCGTGTGTCTCAGTGAGTTCCTTCTGCAGAAGACTTGAATAAAATTCACAGAACAGCTCAGGAAAGAACAAGCGCTTGCCTGAGCTGTTTATTTGAACACCCTCATTCCCACCACAGGCGCTAGAGGATAAATTAAGGGATTGCCAAAGTCATTCTGTAGTTGTTGATATTTAACTAAAACCTCAAAAATGCCCACCTGCTGGTAGCACTGGAGGAAAAGTCAGGGGATCACCAACGTCATTAGGTTTCATCCTCTGGGGACCATAAATGCTTGTAGACAATTTGATAGCAGTTTCATCCGATACTTGTTCAGTCTGGACCAAAGTGGTGGATCAACCAACAGATCCACATGATGGCTAAAAATACACATACAAAGGGGGTATGTGTGTACACCAACGCGAACCTAGGGTTAGCTGACCAACAGCATGCTACCTAACAGCTAAGAAATACTTAACAACAAGTTTAAAACACAGTTTTAGTTTGTCTTGTTGGTTACGATGATCCTGACCCCAGCCCCTGACGTTAGCATTTCTTTGGCTGTCGAAACGCATCTGCTCCAAATTGGCCCTCGACCTGCCTTTTGTGCTTCACCAAGAAATGGCTCAAAGGCATTTTTGGCATGTATACGGATTAAACAAACAAGATGCAATGTTTTGATTAGTGAGCTTTAGAGGTGTTGATTGCTGTATTTTGTCTGTTAACCTCTTGGCCTCAGGTTAAGATTCCAACGATGGTCGTTCCGACTTGTGACTCGTGTGGTTCTAATGACCATAACGACTGGCGTTACAACAGCCAGGAGCACTCACGAACCAGCGTCATCGACGATCCCGGCAAACGACCCCACTGAGCTTAAATAGCTTAGTTTCCCTACCAGTCAGTCAGAACTGAAGTCTCTTGGATGAGGGACGAAACGTCTTCTAGTATCTTTCACCAAGTGCAGTTGCTCTTGATTTTAACCTTCTTTGGATAACTATGACCCGGATGACTAAGAACCTTCACAGATACCCGTTTCACTCTGCTTTCAGTCTTCATGCTAAGCTAGGCTAATTGCCTCTCAGCTCCATACTTCACACAGAAATGAAGATTGTGACATGTGATTATTTAGGGTCCATTACTTTCTTTTGTCAAATTAACCCAGGTTAGTTTCAGCAGTGAGGTAACTGGAAACGTAGAGTGAGAGAAATATTGTTTTCCATTGTTACTTGGTTTATAATGGTCGGTCAAGTTTTGAACTGAATTCTGTGTGAGGTGTCTCTATGAACCACCATATAAACGTTTTATAACATCACTCAAAAGGCTCTTGACCTTTTTGATGTCTGAGGTCACAGATAAGATGACAGTGTGTTTCTATTTATGTCACTGGATCCACCTGGATCTGATCTATTCTGGTCTGAACTGGTTTAACTGGGCGGGGTGAACAAGAGGATAGGGAGTCACATATTAAACATACTAACACACATACATTTTGGGGCACTGATCCAAGAGACTGCCTTCAAGTAGTAGCCCACATGTGGTCTCGGGTATACATGTGTATGCAGGTGGTTTTTATGCAAGGGCGTACTTTCTAAAAATGCTGCATCATCATTAGAATGAGGTAGAGAACTCATTGTGAAGACAAATGAAGTGTGTAAGAGCTGCAGTTTCATTCACAAAGCCAAATATTCAAAGCTGTCTGGAAACATATTTTCCAAATAATATATTAATGCTGAAATGATCCCTAATTAATCACTTCAAATCATTTCAACTATTTTTATCAAGCAGCAATGCAGAATGTTCTCAGTTTCCAGCTTCTTAAATGTGATGATTTGTTGCGTTTCTGGGTAAACTGAATCTCTAACGTATGATTTCCAATATTTTTTGACAAGACTAAAAAATCAACTAAATTTTTTTTCTACTGGGATCAGTGACTGATTTCCTAAATGTACATTAGACAACACACAAAACTAATTTATCGTCACATGCAAATTTTACATTTTTGTTCTCATTGTAATACAAGTTTGTCGGTATTTATGAAGTGTTTAGCAAAACTGTATTTTAAAAATAATAAAAGGGTTTTGATTTTGAACTTGAACCACAACGTGATTGAGGATATAGGTGTCAAATGTTAGGTGGTGTTGACCCAGTTAACTCCAGTAGCAGACGAGAGGGAATGTAACACCCACAGTCTGGAACTCACTCACTCACTCACAACAGTGTGTTTATGGCATAGACTGTATATAAAAAGGTTTATGGCTGAGAACTAAATGCATATGCATACTGAAAGTGTCCATTAGAAACAATCATTTTTCATTACTTATTAATATAAAATAAATACTAATTATTAATAATATAGCAAAATACAAAATTAAGCCTATACAGAGGACTGTTCATATGTGCAGCAAGTCATGTTGTGTTTGCACCAGGTTGAAAGTGATATGAGTTTGGGTGAGGCAGGTGCTTTGATAAGCCATCAGTCATTTTAAATGGGACAGTAGTCCGTGTTGTTCGACAAGGGCTGCGGTGAAGAGATCTGGCACTGAAAACAATCTTACCAGGCATTTTATCAGCAACATGCATGAGCAACATTCAAAAGAACTGGAAACAAAACGTGACCTGCAACTCACTCTCTTCACACAAGTGTTTTCCATAGCCAGCGTCACTACACTTATTATGGCTTTTGATACTGTTTTTAAGCCAAAGTAACCAAGAAAATCTTTGAAAATTTGCCTTCTATCCTTTTTATTTTACCTGTTAAACTGTAACTTGCTGCCAACATGTGCATTTGCATGTTTTTACAGAATTGTTTGTAATAGTCCACATGCTATCTATGGCAGTGACTATTAACGTAACCTGTGATTGTGGGCTCCCCACAAAATGATGCTTAACCGCAAAGGAAAGCAGAAAATGCTAATTGTTTTAGACCTCCCTCTAATCTGGTTAATTAGACTTCCTCAGGACCATGTTATTTCACGGTGTCGCACACTCATCTATAGCACTGATGCAAACAGTAACTGAGAGAAAGCAAGGGGGTGATCTTGTTGGAGGACTGGGGATTCATTTTCTCCATGTGTTTTCATGTAATTACTCATCAGTTTTGCTGGTTAATGGAGTATTTCTAGTTTACAGCAGTTAAGAGAATGCTGGATTTGATTTGAGAGGATCTGTTGAAAGAGTATGAGTATGTATTGCTGGAAAACAAGTAACTCGTTTGTGCAATGAAAAATGTCACTCTTCATGCTTTAGTTAGAAGATAGATCCTCAGATACTGTGGCTTTGCTGCCCCTTGCTGGCCAAAGCTAAATATTGTAGACAGCTGTCACATATTGAGTTTATCAACAAGTGAGAAATTAGTTGAGTTTGTTTAAATGTTAAATTAACTTTTACAAGTCATTCACTTACTGCTAGTGTATATTTCTCTTTAACTCCTTAGATTGTCACCTCTCAGAATTATTAGTTGGAGCTCTCTACAACATTTGTGCTACTTCAATTTCATCCAACATCAAATAGACGAAGGCTGTTGACAAAATAAGGACTAAAACCTGAGTTTCAAAGTTCATTCTTGGCCTTGGTGGTTTCACGGCTCCCTGCCGGCTGTAAACCTTCAGACCTGTCTCCCCAAAAAATCCATGTACATGTTGTCAAACCTTCATCTTATTTCTGATTTTAAGAGTGGTGTCTGAATTCAAAAAGGTTTACAAAGAAATCTAACAAAGAGATGCAACATATTTTTCTGTAGGAAATTATAACAAACCATAGAACTAGGGCTGTACATATGGATTATTTTTCAAGTCGATTAATCTAACGACTAATTTTGTTTATTCTAAAGAAAGAAAAGTTGCCTATTACTCGATTAACATACCAATTTATCCAAAATAAATATCAAAAACATGTCTAATCAATAAATCTATATTTTATTCAATCATCCTGATGAAGCACATTAGAACAATGACAATTAGCAGCAAATCTTAAATTTCCACGTCACTGCTGTGATGTGATAATAACAATAACAGACATTAATTAAATTAAAAAATTAATTGTTACGTTACCATGACAGCAGTGGGGCAGATATTACTTTTAACATGAAGGCAATAAACATTTTAACGGACTACGTGTGCTCGTGCTGACAATGTGCCGTGCGTGTGTGGCGACAGAAAGTAAACACGATTTGCGGTGCTGCCGTCTCGACAAAGTGCTCCGGGATACTTTCGTTTCAAGGGTTCATGCTGCTTCACGTATTTGTGGACAGCAGCTGTGCTGCAGTGAAGCTGTTTCCAGTTCAGAGAGCTGCACGGAGCAGCACGTTGTTGAGTGTCTGTCTGAAATACTCCAAACTTTGTAGCTGGAGCTTGTCCGGGAGAATCCCACACCGGATGCAGCGACGCGCGTCGACGTATTTACGTAATCGATTACGTCGACGAATCGCCCCAGCCCTACATAGAACACGTTGGCTGTTCTGTGTTGACAGTGGCTACCCATCTCAGTGCAGTATGGACAGTTTTGGTCTGTTGGTCAGACAAAAGAAAATTAGAGTTACATTACACAGTAATCTTTAGTATCTGCTGCATTATTGTCTCAATTAACTGATTAAATCAATTGGGCTATAACATGTCAAATAGTGGAAACGCAGTAGAGCCCAAATTCACATATTTAAAGCTGAAGTGGGCAATGTTCCCCCTTCCCCTCCAGTCTTCCCCCAAAGCTACTCTCCCAAAATTTTTCATGCGCTGTTTCATTCAGACCGAATGAAATGATTGGCCTTGTTTTTGTGTGTCAGAGCATTTCATTTATTGATTGCTGTCAGGATATGAAGAGAATTAAAAAAAAAATCTAACAAATCACTCCAACTCGTAGGACCTGCCCTCCAGTTGGATCTTTAGGGACTTGAAGTCTGGCCTGTCGACTGGCTCGGCGCTCCAACATTTCAGCATGATTTCGTAGAGAAAGTCTGGACATTTGGCCGGAGCTGGCATCCTGTAGCCTTTGGTAACCTGCTGGTACACTTCCTGGTTGCTAAAGGCTGAGAGGAAGCAAGGGATGGAGTGAAGTGGGTAAAGAGAAGAAAAAGAAGTGCAGAAGTGTGGTTAAACATTAGTTTCTATTATAGTTTTGTGCAAGATTAAGTTGTGATTGTGGTGGACTTGAAAAATTATCTAATCTCTGATAAAGAACATGCTCCATCGTCATTGCCATGCCATTCACACACCAACTATAGCACCATACACAACACTGCTTAACCACAAACTATACCATACCATGTATAAATACATTTTCTAAGCATAGTTGTTGACTTTCAGTTCCCTAAATATGTCCAGTTCCCTAAACACCTCTGCCGAAGTGGTGCAACTTCATAGGAAATTGTTTCTTTATTCTATTATCTTGAAAAAACTTCAATTCTATTTTTATATTTTAGGACATTGGACCTTGAAGTGAGCAGAATGTATAGTTGAGAGGGCTACATTTGACACTGTCCATCTGTTGTAAGGGTTAGTAGACTTATTAGGGCTGCACGATTAATCATTTTAACTTCACAATCTCTGTTCAGACCTCCTATGCAATTTCATTTCTACGTGCCATTTACGCTGTGTTTGCATTGCTTGTTGTACTCGTTCCTCCTGTTCATACTGGCCATTAAGAGAAATCCACTGTTCTCCTTCTGTGCAAAAATGCGTAAAAGATGATCTGAAGCTTAAATGAGGTTTCATCTCTCTGAATTGGTCAAATCAAGTGGGTATCTTTCAAAGTCTTTCAGCATAAAATTCCCTTTGTGTTTCACTTGACTGTTTTCTTGTTCAGCTGGATATATATATATATATATATATATATATATATATATATATATATATATATATATATATATATATATATATATATATATATATATATATATATATATATATATATATGAACAGTAGGGATGGTTAGTGCAAGCAAAATATGTTGCAATTTACTTATGGGTATGGGAGTGTTGTTTTAAGACAGACTAAAAGAAATTGTGAACCTATCCTTTTAAATAAATTTAGCATGTGTGAGGGACACAGGAGTTCAATGCAATGGACAAAAAAAAGCTAGAACAACAAAAATGTGTCAGAATTGAGGAAACCCAGTGATGCTGATGAAGAACAAATACATTTTTCTGCCCCTGGTTACGACAAAAATGCTACCATTTAAACAGGTGTATGCTTTTCCAGTAGAAATACCATTATTTGATGTGTCTGACTTCCGGAGGCAGTCTCAAAGAGGTATAACAACAAAGTATGCTTCAAGGACTGCTGAGAATAGTGGAAGATTTTGTTCAAACTGAGGAGATTAAATGGGGATTTGTCTAGTGACAATGAATCGGAAGTTTCATTGTGCAACATCATCAAATCCAAGCTGTACTATAGATTACTGTGAGACACTGTTTTGTCTTAAATGATGGAGACTGTTCTGGCATTCTTGCAAACTTTGATTTCTCCCAGACAACATGAGAAAAATGTTTTCCACTAGGGCTTCAACTTGATATTTCATTTGATTTGAAAGTGCCATAAATTATGTTTTTAAGACCTCTAATCCAAAAAACATGTCATTCCACCAACCTGGGTAAGGATTGCCACCATGGGTTGTGATCTCATAGAGCAAGACACCAAAAGACCAGACGTCTGACTTGTTAGAGAACTTTCCATGGCTGATGGCCTCAGGAGCGCTCCACTTGTAGGGTATCTTTTTATCTTCTGTGATGTAGAACGGCTCCTGGATGAGAAATCTTTGTTTCAAAAACTGCAGGCTTGATTTGACTTTGACTAATATACACAGAAACCCTTCCTTTCCTCCCTACCTTGATCACTCTGGCCAGTCCAAAGTCAGCCACCTTACAGATGTAGTCCTCCCCCACCAGGACGTTTCGAGCCGCCAAATCTCTGTGGATGCTGTTCTGCTCCTCCAGGTATGCCATCCCATCAGCCACCTGAGCGCCCATGTCAATGAGTAACTCAATGTTTTGCTTCTGCCCCTCTGGACCTAAAACAGAAAAGCAAACAGAGAACCAAGAAGTATGGAACTTTTGTTGTCATTGTGTTTTCAGTAAGTGCAATTTATGTTTGTTATTATTTTGCAATGGATATTTGGATATGGATATTTCTTAAGAGGCTTAATTCAAGCGACAGCAAAGGTAAGGCAGGTCATGCTTGGAGTTATTAGGTGACCTCACAAGTGTTCACTGACTTTCCAGCTCTAAGTCTTTGCAGAGTTGTAACTGTTCTTGTCAGGGTGACAACAGTTTCACAGATAAGGCAGGGACTGTAAGGCATCAGGCCAGCAGGTATGTGTTCTCTGGGAATCTTGTATGTTTGCAAGAACTTAATGGCTCCACAGATTAGAGTGCAAATCATGGATACTATCAGATTTCAAAGTGATGTAGGTAATGCATTAGAGTCTAACATCAGACAGATTTGGCTGTTCAGGTTAAGGCCGGTTGAAGATGAGCTAAGAGGGAAAACCTACAGATACTAGGGGGAAAGGCATAAACATAAAAACGGACCCAAAGATGCTATCCTTCAAATTTGGTGTTGGGATCGCAAGTGTTCACAAGTTGTATGCTGACACTGTATCTCTTTGGCCAAGTCTCATTAAACAAGGTACAGGATTGTTTATCTGTCATTATACAACACAAGGCTGTATAACGAATGCTTGATCTGGGATGTTGATAATCAGGTTTCTGTAAAGATGTGGTCACAGCGGTCTCTGATTTCTGTTGCTTGGCCAACATGAGTCTGAGTAGGAGCAGCCTAAAGTCAAAGCTGGGCCAACATGGCTCCTACCCCGGCGCTTTTTTCTCTCCTCTGAGCAATCACCTCTTACTTGGAAACTTATCAACTGACACACCTAAAGCTGGCTCACTTTATTTCCACAACAGACAGCATTATATCAAAACCTTCAGCATTCGGGGCTGTAAAGCAGCTCAGCCTGTGAAGCTTACGTTGGCTCAAGTGGCCAAAATAAAGAGCTGTCAGCATATAAAGTTTAGGGATTGTCAGTGAGATGTCAAACCTTTTACAATATCACACATGACTTATCAGTAATTTGTCATTATTGCAAGTGGATGATTATGTGCAGCATCACTGCTTCGTTTAATCACGCACCACCATCATGTCAAAATGTCAGTTTGTCCAATATGCTTTAATACTATGCTTAATACCTGCAAAACTGACATTCCCATCAGCCTCAGGAGTACTTTGTTTTTTAGCAAATGTCAAGTGCGTCCTTTTTAAGTGCTGCTAGCATGGCTGTAGACTCTTAAAACGAGCTCTAGGATGGCAACAACAACAACAACAAGCAACTGCATAATTTTATCACATTTTTTATGTAGAAATGTGCCTTTGCTTGGTACAAACTTATGTTTAATAATAGTCAATGTCAATACAGACACAGAGATCTATAGGAAGTAAACCTAATTACATTGCAATAACATATACTCAGTGCACTAGCATTGTCCTGTAGGAAGGTGAACCTTCGCCCCAGTCTGAGGTCCAGAGCTCTCTGGAGCAGGTTTTTATCAAGGATGTCTGTACATTGCTGCATTCATCTTTCCCTCGATCCTGACGAGTCTCCTGGTTCCTGCTGCTGAAAAACATCCCCACAGCATGATGCTGCCACCACCATGCTTCACTGTAGGGATGGTATTAGCCAGGTGATGAGCGGTGCCTGGTTTCCTCCAGACATGACGTGCTTTTTCCCGTTTTTTGTTTTTAATAAATTTGCAGAGATTTAGAATAAGGCTGTAACATAACAAAATTTGGAAAAAGTGAAGCGCTGTGAATACTTTCTGGATGCACTGTACTAAGTTTATAATATTTAGTCTAACCTCATTGATACACATGTTTAAAAAAACTCAGTAAACATAATACAATTGCACAGCACATTGAAACCACAGCTGAGCAGTTGAATCAACACCTCTAAACCTTTACCAGGAAAAACTGAACATTGTATCCTTCATGAAGGGAGGATTTGCGGAACATTTTTTTAAGCTAGTATATGGTAAACTGTGTGATTTCCCTACATTTCAACACAAAGCTGAATTGAAAGATAACTCCCTAAAAACTTAAAGTTTTACTGAAATTTTATATCGCACCATCTCAGGAAATGTCAAAGCTCTAACCCTCTTACCCTTCAACTGGAGTGCGTGGATGTTGAGCAGACCTCAAGTTGCATGTATGTGATTCATGTGGTGGCATAAACAAAACAAAAAAAGGACTGATGCAAGCAAGGCTATTGTGTCGGGGGCTTGAACTGTTGGCTTCTAAAGGGGGGCGGGACTGACTGTTTGCTGCAAAAGATAGAAGAACACTGAGGTTTACCTCTGAGGAAGTTGAGCAGGCTGCCTTTTTCCATCAACTCAGTGATGATGTAGTAAGGTGCTGAGGCCGTACAGACAGCAAACAGGGAGATGAGGTGACGATGACGGAGACGCTTCAGGATCTGAACTTCGCTCTGAAATTCGCGATAGTTCAACTCCGAGTCTAGAGAGAGAGAGAGAGAGAGAGAGAGAGAGAGAGAGATAATTAATAGCAAAACAGAAGAAACAGAGATGAAAATGAGGAACAGAGATGAAAGAGGAACAGGGAAATAAAGAAATGAGCTGGGTAGACTGAGAACCATCAGGCAATAGAAGGAAACCACATTGAAATTTGGACCATTTTACAGATATGACAGGGGAAACTAACTGTGGATCGGGGTGTGCACCCATATCATATCTTAACTTGTCACACAATGCCGTTGTACCGTTAAACACAACGACAACAAGCATGGCTGAAAGCGAAGGTAGCATTGACCTGCTCCATGGTGGAGCGACAATATTAGCCAAAGTATTAAAATGTTTCTGTTTCAGTTCATCCGTTTTTGATAAAATCATGCTAGCTGTGGTAGTTATAGAATTTATTGTGCAATGTAACCAAACTTTTATGTAGTACCAGTACACTGTCGCCGGACACACATGTGGGTAGTTTGCAAATACTAGAAGACAAGATCACATTAGTCCTGTTTTTAGCCTTCACTGGTTACCAGAGCATTTTAGAATTGAATTAAGTTTTGATTTTTTTGTTCAGTCCTGTAAAGCACTTTGAAACTTTGTTTTGATAAGTGCTGGATTTATAAATGAAGCATTGTGGTGCTTCAGAGACGTCACATCTTCGTCATTTTTATCAGTGAAAATTAAGTGCAAAAATTACCATTCCCACAAAAAAAGTGCCTCATATGGAAATATCGGTCAAAATAATTGCAATACGATTTATTTCTTTGCATATTGTTCATCCCTATCTGAATTTGCAGTTGGCTTTGCCCAGTGACAATCCAATAAACCCAAAAAACTGATGTCGTTATCAATATCAACATTTTTCCCACTGTTTTTGTACCAATATTGTGGTGGTCATGTGCAAGTGGCTTACATGGATGCTTTCATTAACCAACCTGCTGTAGAACAAATGCTAATTTATGTTTGATTAACTAAAGCTACGTTTTAGCAAAGTTACAGTCCAGTAAGAGGCCTTGTGTCATGGCCAGGCAGGTGTCTGTGTGGAACAGCAACATAGTTCTGGTCTGAACCACTGCTCTAAATCAGTGCAAAAGGGAAATTAAACTCCAGGTGACCACAGCAAGAGTTCTTGCTTTATTTAATGTAGGCATCTGTTATACAAAAACAACATATACTGTTTGCTATGAAGACACTAATGCTAAAATTATTAGTATATTAATCAATCCAAAAACATCCTTAGCTTCTCAAATGGGAGGATTTTCTATGTTCCTTTGTTTAGTAATCAGTATTATTGGAATGTATTTGGATTTTAGACTGATGGTTTTGACAAAAGAAGCATTTTGAATATGTCCCCTTCAACCTGAAATAAGCGTTCTTCACAATTTTCTGACTGATGCTTGGAAATTATGACATTGTACATAAAACATTTACTTCCTGCTTAGAGAAGTTTGCTGTACAGTAAATGAGTCATCGGGTCAATCAAGTGAGCTTGACAGACTGCAGTTTAAGTGCTGTGCAACATGCTTCTAAAATGTCTCACCTGACTACTCCCTCACCCTGCACTCCCTTTTACTGTCTACAGGTGCTTGTTGCGCACACGTAATCCAGATGTCCTGGATGAAAACAACATATTGTTGCTATTTAAACAGTAGTACGTTGTAGCATCAGCACATACTTTATGCCAAAAAGATCAATTTATACTCATCAGTTAAGGTGAAAAAATATTTTAGTGATTGTTACACAACACAGCAGCAGATTTGATGAACTGTCCAACCGCCTGTTAGGTCAGTTTGACACGTAACGATGCTGCTTGTGTTGCCAGATATGTATGACAGCATCTGAGGTATATCAATGGGTCTTAACATGATAGATCTGGAAATTACTCTACATTCTTATTCTGTCTGTACATGTTCAACCCCACCCAGTTTCACACATTTAAAAAACAGGTCAGTTTTCAAGTGTACATTGTATATTTCACTATTCAAGTATTAGGTAATACACAGTGATTGATATGCTGAGAAACACCTGAGTCACCTGAAGCTTTTTAAGATTTACTGTAGAGGGATTTCTGACATGTTGGGAACTATGATGGGTCCAGGTCAGATTAGCTTGGTTATGCACAAACACTGGAAGCAGAAGAAACAGTTGGACAACTGCTGAAGGACCTTCACAGGTGCAGTTGTCTTGCTAAATGAGGAATTAGAAATGAGTAATATAGCCAATACCACAGTGACCTGAAAATGTACTTTCTGATTGGTTTTATGTTTGCATGAAGGACTGCAGCTATGTGCAGCTCTCAGGTGTTGGTGATTTATTAATCTAGCAAAAAAAAAAACACAATCTGCACAATGTCATAAGAGCTTGCATATGAGATAAAATATGACTTTTTTTGGGGAATTTAAGATGTCACAACTGTAGGGGTGTCTCCGACTAAGGATTACGTCGAATCAGAACGGTCAGTTGTCGAGAACTGCATGCTGGTCGCGGTTCCTCCCGAGTCTATTCCAAGTATTGTTTGTGCACTGACGCCCCCTGCTTTAAGGTTTAGGGTGACAATTTAGGATTTATTCACTTATTCATTTATTAAAAGCTTCTTTCTTTTCACACGTTTCCTTTACTGCACTTGCTGTATATTAACTTATCGAGAGAAAATCTGTAGTTTTATGTCAAATCAGACGTTGAGCACACCTAAATAGCAAAAACGGCATGATCCTCATTTCAAAACGCTTCTGCAAAGATTCGACTGTGAGATTGGGAGTTGAATCGGGCTCCGCCTATCAAATCTTCGACTACTCGGGGTCAGCCCTACACAACTGTAACTTTTACATTTGTATTAAACATGACTGTACTTATCCTACTCTACTTCTGTTACTCATCCTCCCATTTCTACAACATTTTTACAACATAGAACATATTTATAGCTATCTAACATGACCCATGGAGTTCTAGTGAGAAATTGCTGCTAGCAATAACAATAAGCACGCCAATAAATTAACCCCCACCCCACAGCAATATATATAGTATTAGCAGCAGGTATGCAAAAACTCATGATATTAGAGGCCTGCAATTAGGGCTGTAGCTTGGTTCTTTTCATGATGGATTAATCTGTTTATAAATAAAGTTTATGAAATGTCAAATCTCATACAGATGCTCTCAGAAGCCTTGGTTTTGTCACAGATATCCAGCTTACAATGATGGAAAACCGAGAAAAGAAACAAATATTCACACATTTGAGAAGCTAGAACCAGAGAATGTCAATTTTGCTTGATGAAATTATTTAAATGAATTTTTTTTATCAAAATCATCGGCAATATTTGAAGAACCAGCCTAAATACACATTAACAGAAAGGTTTGTACCTATTTTTCCTCATGAGTTGTTGGGCAAAACCATCCACCATGTTATTAGTAGTAGTATATCGAACACTTTCCACCTCGCTTTTTTTGTAAATTGTCTAGCTAAGCGCCAAACCCCGTCTGTTAAATCATCCTTCATTAGATCAACAGAGATAGTGAAATACCACTTTTGAGGATCTTGATGGCGACTTTAATATGGTTTTTCCAGTGTCCTCTGTAGACTTCAGCGAAGTAGCCACTGCCCAGCTGCTCCTCCAGGGTAAACTCCTCTTTCGGGAGCTCCCACTCATCCACCGTAAAATGATTCAAATCTGGGGTGTTGGGCTTTTTCTGATGGGGAAAACACACACATACACACACTTGTAGGTCATAAAAGGGGCACAAACACAGCTCATTCATTCTCATCCATGCATATAGGCAGGATTTAAATGGGTGTGCACATGAGAATTTGCAGTAGGTCCAAAAGGGAGTCTTCACATGTCTTGTTTTGTCCAACCAACAGTCCAAAACCCAAATAGATTTAGTTAACTATCACACAAAATAAAGAAAAAGAGCAAATCCTCACAATTCAGAATCTAAAACTGTGGTTCTTCTGCATTTTTGCTTGTAAATGACTAATTGATAATCAAAATAGTTAGTCTAGTTGACACAATGCAAAATCTTTGTTTATAAATTTTTATTTAACCTTTTATTTAAGGTTAGCTGATTGAGAACACCTTGCTCAAGACCTTGCTCAGGCAAGGTTGTGCAGTCTAACATGTAGTTTTACATAAAATACAAATACAATGTATAAAGTGGTCAGCAGTTAATGAAATGACTCATAGAGTAACACTGGTACTATAGCAAATAGCACTCCTTAAAGTAGATGTCAAAACCAAGTCTGCTCCATATCTGAGCGAATGACGTTCAGGTATGTGCAATAATGTTTGCGCCCAACTACACAGATAACAGTTCCATAAGCTATGATAAGATAAGTAGGCCTGCTTAAAATATGCTAATACGCCAAACTGGCAAACAAAAATATAAACGGCAAAAGATATAAATGATACAGTAAAATAGAGAATATATTGCTTGCTGTAATCAATCCTCCTGGTCATACTGGACATTAAGATATCCCTTCCTAACATGCTTCTGATCGAGGTGATGGAGGACAAAATCCAAAGTCCTGTGCAAAAATGTGAAGTTTATCTGAAGCTAATATTGGGGGTCAGCAGTCTGAATCATCAAATCTTTTTAGTACAAATCCCCTCTTTTGTGTGTTGCTATCCCTCCAATGCAACTCAAGGCAGAAAAACTGCTGGGGAAACTGCATTTGTACTAAAACTGTTCCCCATCACTTCCATTTGAAGCTGTTGCCCATAGGCATGGAGTATTGCTTTAAGAAAGACTTGAAAAATGTGAACCTATTCTTTAAATCTGCATGTAGAATAATTTTAACCTAATGACCGTGCTGAACTTCAACATTGTGTTCATGTGACATGAGTTGTTGTTGTGAGACGGGCTATTTTCTGTAGTTTTGTCAGTAGCATGTGACTTTTCTGTACTTTCGAATTTACACAGAAGCTGTGGTAGTGGCCGCTGGGAAGGTTTTTGACCACAGTAACTTTGTCACAGAGCTTTAAATTATATCAAACATACAAACAGTTCTGAAGCCGTGTTGCATGATTTGGTAAAATAGCGTTCAGGCTCAGTCGTAAAACAAAACAATTCACCCACAAACACCAGGAAGCGTATGAATGAACAACATCTAGCAATGTTTTTTTATCGCTGAATGTCCAGACTTCTGGTTTTCACATGAACAGAAATAAGAGGAACAAACTATATTATAAGCATCATGATAGCCTGTCTTACCCTTTTGCTGGGGTTTCCCAGTCTGTATATGTTGTTCAGGCTGTTGGCACAGTAGTACTCCACCAAGTCAATCAGAGAGCTGAAGTTGCGGTTGTACTCCACGTAAAAATTATCACCTGCTTGGAGGATCTTAAAATGCTTCACCTGATTGCTGACCCTCACTGTAGAAAGATTCACACATATACACAAAGTCAGAAATATGAGTGTATAAGGTCCATTGTAGGTCAAATAAAATGTAATTACAGAGCCGAGGGGAAAAAAAATCAGAATTTCCGAGATTAAAGTCACAAATTTACGAGAAGAAAACTCTGATGTGCTTGTGTTGTTAAAGGCTCTGTACTCTATTAAGCAGGGTATGCAGATGTTAATAACAACAGCCATCACATATAAACTACTTTCACCAACCACTTTTAGAAGATACTACTATTCAAAGACCAGAAGCATAAAAAATGGGAGGAACTGCAGACATTTATAAATGACTAGATGTGACACATGCTTTCAAGTGGCTTTGTTGCAGTCCCTCATATCTGCCCACCTGTCTGAAAGCTCCAGCTCTCCTCCTTATACTTTTCTTGAATGCTGAATGCTATCACCCCTCCCATGGCTCCATAAAATAAAAAATCTACAATGGCCCTAATACTTAGCATAGCAAAAATTGTTAAAATAATTAAATGCAAAGATCCTCCTCAGTAGGATTTTGTAAGATTTCACTTAAGAAGTCATTTTTGTCACGTTTTTGTCTCTTAACTGCATTGCATTATGTTGATATAAATGGGGTGGACAAAATAATGGATCTACCTCGATATAAAGAATTACAATCACCACAAACTACTTCCTCCAAAATGAACATACAAATAAATCAAAACCTCTCTGAAACAGACTGCAGGGCTACACATACAAAACAGAACATTATAACCTTCATGAATGGAGGATTTATTGCATGACTGAACCTCAAATACTGGCAACAGAGTTGTCTTAAGGACTCAACTGAAGTTAACCCTGTGATCGACTGGCACCCTGTGCAGAGTTCACCCTGCCTCTTGCAAAATGCATGCTGGGATAGTAACGGGCACGGTAGAAGCTGCAGAACTGCGGCCTCTATTCATTAGTCACTGTAACTTACACTGTACATTTAAGGTTACAGATACACTGAAGCTTATTGTTGATCATTTCTTCTCTGCTCTGCTCGCCTGCCATTCACCGGTCTTGTGCAGAGTTTTGTGCGTGTGCCGTGCGGCCGACAAATGCATGCACGTCGCGTTTCCTCGCGGGTCTATTTCAAGTACTATTTAAAAATGATTTAATAATCTTTGTGTGGTTTATCAATTGTGATAAATGATCCGAATGTCCCGCGAGGTGCAGACAACTCGGCACAACAACGGTAAGGCTGGAGCTCCATCTCTCTGCCACTAGGCTACATCATAGACACACACGCACGCACTGACCCGCCTTCTTTAAGGCTAAATTTGGGTTTTTTTCACTTTTAAAACATTTATTAAAAGCTATTTTCTTTTTATGTTTATTTACAGCATTAAAAGTTGAAATGTATATTGTAATAGGCTGTATATGAACTGATTGAAGGAAACTGGTAGTTCTATGTAAAATCAGACGTTGAGCACCCCCGTATTGCCAAAATGGCATGATCCTTGTTTTGATGCGAAGCTTCGACTGAGATTGACAGTCGAATCAGGCTCCGCCCATCGAAGCATCGACTATGCGGGGTCAGCCCTAGTAGAAAGCATACTGTAAATACTGACATTTTCTCTGGTTATGCTTCTGTTGTTGCTCTTTGAAAGGGCAAGAACAGAATTATCACGCTCCTGGTAGGTCTCCCAATGTTTGGATATTATAGAAACGTCAAACTTTTATTCCCTTTTCTACTTTCTTTGTTTTTGTGCCCCCTTAGTCAACTTAAAGGATTTGTTCAACATTTTGGAAATCACCCTTATTTGCTTTCTGGCAAAGAGTTAGATGGGAAGATTGATACCAACAAAATGGAAAGGTGAAAATAACAATTTGCCGTTTTACTGGGTCGTTATGTGCCGGACAAGCTAAGCTAACCTTCTGCTGGCTGAAACTTTCATTTATCCTCCAGATATGAGAGTAGTATCTTCTTATATAACTTTACGCCAGAAAGCAAATAAACGTATTTCCCAAAGTGTCAAACAATTTCTTTAACCGATAGGCAACTTGTGCCTTTTGGTTTCCAGGAAATCTCCTCGATTGCATTGAAACTGACAATGCATCCATGTCCACAATGCAAAATTCTGGTATTTACGAAGATTTCTGATTTGCACTACAGTCAACAACTTGTTTGGAAGCAATAAATGCTGTAGTAGTTAAGGCTGTGATCAATTTAAACAGAACCCACACCCAGATCGATCATAGGTAGGGTCAGTTTTAGGCCAGGCAGTTACTAGATAAAGGCGTGGCTAGGGAAGGGTCAGGTAAAGTGTGATGTCCTCCAATGAAACAGCGTTCCATTGTTTGTATGTTAGTTCCTTATCAGCTGGATGGCCTACACACAAACTTCTAAATTTTAAAGCTGACTGTCCCTATATTTTACACATTACTTCCTCCACATCTACCGAACTGTCTTCCCAAATCCATCCTACACTTTGAACTGAAGTAAAACTCCCTTTTTGCTCTCTCTATTTTATCCCACCAACAACCCACACATCACTCCGCCTCTGGTTCCCTCTGCAGGCTTCCTCCATCACCCCTCTCATTCTTGTCTTGCCTGAAAGAACGTATCCAACGTTGTCCTTCTCACTGTGTCGGATGAGGAAAGCTCCGTTGTCGTTTCCTGGTCCCAGCAGGTAGCTTTGGGCCTCAAAGCGGCTCATTGTCCCAAAATACCATCTGGATCAAGACAGAAAGCCATAAATTAAAATTAAATATTAGCAAGTGTTTGCATGGTCTTAAACTTTAACTACAATAATAATAGTAGTAGTATAGTAATAATCACAATAAGAAGATATTGTGTAAATGGTAGATAAGCATAATAAAGATCTGGCAATTTATTGTTTGATTGTGTTAAATCATTTATGTCTACCTGTGAAAATCCTGGGATCTCGTTTTTAGATTCATGCAAATATTTTCAAGGTATAACTTTGAGTGGTTTGAGTATCTAAACATGTAAGAAGTCTTCATAGCAGGTGCAAATACAGAGTACTTGTTGTGTGTTAAACTGCCACAAACACTTAATCTCTGACTTCTAAACTTCTAAACTCGTCTTTGGACAGTTATTGTGATTATCATGAGTGGAAACAAAACTAGATGTTATAAGGTAAGTTGAATAATTGAAAGTCGGTTAACAGAAAATTAATCACCAACCGTTTTGATAATCAGTTAATAGTTTCAATCATTTTGCAAACACAAATGCCAAACATGCGATGGTTCCAGCTCCTCAAATGTGAAGATTGGCAGCTTTTTGTTGTCATATGATTATTAAATTACTGTTAGTTGGACAAAACAAGCAATAAATCTGAAGTTGTCACCAGAAGTCCTTGTGATGGGCATTTCATAGAAACAAACAGAAAATAAAATCATTAATCAATTATGAAAATAATGGTTATATTTTATCAGCAAAATGTTATTACTGCTAAATGTAATACTACAATTAATCATAAAAAAACCCAAATCAATAGTGAATTTAAACTTTCCAGCACCTGTTGACATGTGGGAATAACCACACGTTACACACTTCCCATTCTGCTGAAGCAATAAACAGAGAGAGAGCAACAAAACAAGAAGTGGTGAGGCTGACTCAGAAGTGTTTGCATCACTGCTCAGAAACACTGAAACACTCAGACATGGCGATTACATTATGGTGATATTTCTCATGGTGCTGCTAACACAGGGTTAGGTGTATATATGTGTTGCAGCTTTATGAATGCTCTCTTGCTTATAGGAAAATATAGCATTTATGAGGACGAGTGGAGTCATTTATTTGGTTGATGTTCAAGTTTTATTGGAGGCTTTTGCTCAAATTGGTTCTTAAATAGCATCCACATACATTTTGTAGCTAATTTTGCTAGAACAGTTATTGTATCTTTGCAACCTAGTGGTATTAAATACAAATCCCATGCCTGTCACTTTCTGTCAACTGTCAAACCAATGAAAGAAGGGTGTGTAAAAACAAATAAAACTATAGCTACAATATGCCCTAAACTGGACAATAATATTGTGACGTATTTCATGCTTGCTCGCTTACCTAAAATATGATTTATGTTTAGTTTAATTGTGATCAAGCTGAGAAGGAAGGTGAAATAAAATGCCAAGTTGACAAGTGGAGGACACAAGAGGACTTGTTGAACTGAACAAGTGCATGTGTTATTTAAAGTTGAACCAAAAGCACCATAATTCCACTGCATAGCACATGGTGCATTTAATATTAACTGGAAAGTGTGACAGTGGATTGACTTTCCTCCTGTTTGACATGGCAAGGGCGTCACTTTATGATGAAAAGTGTTGGGGGGACTTAGGGGCTCAGATTAGGGGTGGGAAGAAAAACTTAGCTCGCAAGATATCAAGAGAGGCAATAAATAAGATGGACAAAGATCCTTTTAAACGTATGAGCAACACATATATAGGCATGATTTCGTCTTCCCTCCTCTTTTGTCATGTTCACAGGGAGAGAATGGAGAACTTGGCCAAAAATAAACTGTTAATAAGTTGTTAAAGTTGTTGATTGGTGCATGCACGTTTTTGGGTAATTTTTATAAATCAGTAGCTTGTTTGTTTTTTTGACAATGCACATTTTGTTTCCTCTATATTTTAATTGCATTTCATGTTTTCTTAATGTGGAAGCCTTTCTAAAGGCATGCTATTTAACTACAAGCTATGTTTCAGAAAGTATTTTTAAAATATTATTCTTTGTGGTGGGGGCAAAATCGGGGTGTTTCTGCCTTCAGTCTCCTCTTAAGGAGGTGAAAAAAAGTGGTGTGGACATGTCCCCAGCGTCCCCAGTGTAAATTACATCTATGGTGGAATTTGGTTATGTTTATGCAGCTAAAGCTTCTGAAAGGGTAAAGTTTGTGGCAAGTCATTTCATAAGTTGAGAGCAAGTTTTAAAAGAAATGCCAAAGACTTGAGCTTAACTGAGCTTGTAATTTACTTTTCAAGACCTAGTGTTTGTTTCATGACGTTTGAAATATGACCTGCTAGCTTGCCTGAAATGTTGTGAGATTTTTTTAAGGGACGAAGTTGCACAAGAAGTCAAACGCAGCCTAACCTGTCTCAAAAATCTTTTAAGTTATGAAGTTAGCCTTGTTTGAAAATGACTGAGAAATCCACACGAAATAGGTTAACTGTTAAGGAGCAGTCGGTTTCTTAAAATATTATGAAAAAGTGACACCACTCACGGTTGCATTTCTAGGGATTCCGCCCTGACCAGGTAGTTATTGGGCACGATCCCGGTGTCCAGGACGCACCCGTTCTTGTCGATCCTCCGTGCGGTCCACCAGTCCCCCTTGCGGCTGATAACATTGAACAGATCCCCCTCCTGAAATGACAGCTCATCCTTGTGACGGGCTTCAAACGGCCACACCGCCGTGTAGATAGAGCTGCTCTCGGGCACACTGTCCGCCGGACCCGGACAAGGACTCGGTGGTCTTTCCTCACCGCGGCCGTCACTGCCGCGCTCTCTTCCCCCTCCACTACCACTGACTACTCCGTCTCCTCCTCCAGGAGAAGCCTTCTTGTCTTTGAAAATCCTCTGCCATAGTGATTCCAAACATGGACAAGATTTCTGCAGACACTCACCCATAGATGACCATGAATGACCCCGCTTAGAGCCGCTGTCCCTCGCGTCTGTCTCTGAGCGCGCCCGCCGAGAGAACACCGGCTACACCTGTTGAACAGGTAGAGGGGATGGAGCGCTGAGAATCCTCAGAATGTCTTTACAGAGAAACTGCTGCGTTTCGGCTCGTCTTGTTGAGACTGTGACTCCTGACTACTGCGCCCAAAGGGCTGACAACAACTTCCTTATGTCGAGCAATAGGCGTCATAAATCTCAAACTCTTTTTCTTTGTTTTACTTTTACTGCCCTTTTATAAAAGGTTCATAAGTTGTAACTAATGACTTTATTAATGATTAACAAACTATTTACTAATGCTTTATAGATTATGCTACTTATAGGCTATTAAGACCAGGGTGGCCAGGTTGTGGGAAAAATCCAGATGTTTAGTCTTTCTTTTTGGTAGATGGATGCATACATGACCCTTAGTGTCTCACTTAATAATAACCCATCAAGTCTGCAGTTGAGTTAATAGGTAGCTTAAGTAATAAATAGTTTAAATAATCAGATTAGCAGTTTTAAGTTGTCAATAAATAGGCTACATTTTGGTTCAGATTGTTTACAGCCCAAAAAATGGGCCATACTTTTCAGCTGAAATGTGACACTTACTGAAAATTTAAGAAAGAAATTGAGGATACAAAACAGGTTCATAGGTGTATAAGTACAGTCCCCTTCAAAAGTATTGGAACGGTAAGGGAAATTACTTTTTTTTTTGTTCACTGAAAACATTTGGGTTTAAGATCAAAAGAGGAGTATGAGACAAGAGTTCACTTCAGCAACAGCTCTCATTTCCTGGTATTCACATCTAGATGTGTTAAACAACTCGGGACAAACCACCCTTTGTTTGAACCCACCCATTTTTCAAGTGAGCAAATCTATTGGAACATGTGACTGACAGATGTTTCTTGTGTTGCCCAGGTGTTGCCTTTTAGGTTGATTGTCCAAACATTAAATAGCTCTGCATGACTAGACTAAGTTTTCATCCTTGGTTCACACCTATAAAGACTGCATTTCCTGTTTAAAGAGAATAAACCAACATAAAGATCAGAGAGCTGTCTATGGGAGAAAAGCAAGCCATTTTCAAGCTGAGAAAAGAAGGAAAATTGACCAGAGCCATCGGACAAACATTGGGCAGAGCAAACACAACAATTTGGAATGTCCTGAAAAAGAAAGAAACTACTGGTGTACTGAACAACAGACGTCCAACAGGTCGGCCAAGGAAAACAACAGTAGTTGATGACAGAAATATGGTGAGAGCTGTGAAGAAAACCCCCAAAACATCAGTAAGTGACACCAATGACTTCCACAGTGCAGGGGTGAAGGTATCATAATCCGCTGTTTGAAGAAGACTCAGAGAGCAGAAATATAGAGGCCACACCACAAGATGCAAACCACTCATCAGCAGGAAGAATCGCAAGGCCAGATTGAAAATCGCAAAGAAGTACAGAGATGAGCCGCAAAAGTTCTGCAACACAATCTTATGGACTGATGAGACCAAGATTAATCTGTACCAAAGTGATGGAAAGGCCAAAGTGTGGAGAAAGAAAGGAACTGCTTATGATCTGAATCATACAAGCTCATCTGTGAAGCATGGTGGAGGTAATGTCATGGCTTGGGCGTGCATGGCTGCTTCTGGAACAGGCTCATTAATATTTATTGATCATGTAACTGATGGTAGCAGCAGAATAAATTCAGAAGCAGAAACATTTTGTCTGCCAATTTACAGAGAAATGCATTGAAACTAATTGGGAGGAAGTTTATCGTGCAGCAGGACAATGACCCAAAGCACACTGCCAACAAAACAAAGGACTTCATCAGGGGAAAAAAAGTGGAAGGTTTTAGACTGGCCAAGTCAATCAACTGACCTTAACCCTATAGAGCATGCATTTCACCTCCTAAAGCGGAGACTGGAGGGAGAAACCCCCTGAAACAAACAAGAACGGAAAGAAGCTGCGGTAAAAGCCTGGAATAGCATCACAAATGAAGAATGCAACAGTTTGGTGATGTCGATTACTTTAAGATTATTTGTTCCATAGCTCACCTAAGACTGCTGTGGTCTAATACAAACGGTGGTTTGTCCTGAGGCGTTTAACACATCTTGATGAGAAGACCAGGAAATAAAAGCTGAAATTCTGAACTCTTGTCTCATACTCATCTTTTGATCTTAAACCCAAATGTCTTCAGTGAACAACAAAAACAAAGGAATTCTCCTTACCGTTCCAATACTTTTGGAGGGGACTGTACATATCCATGTAAAACCTAAAACAAATTACTTTATGCACAAAACCAACACAAACACACCAAGTGCAGAAACTCACACCCATACAACACAATCAGTTCATTTTTGCATTTCTCAATGAAATAGTTGTTCAGCTTTTTATTGCATGAAATGTATTTAAGATATTGTTACTTTATCACACCAAAGACAATAATGTCAGTTTCCTGCAAAAATGTAGATTATTTCGCTAAAATCACTCCATTGTTCTCTCTTTACATTTAATCTAAACATCTGGCCCATTTTACCTGAAATCGAGTAAAATGAGCCAGAGGCAACATGCTGCTATTCAAACTCTCATAATTACAAAACAACTTATCAACTTTTTCACAATTTCTTTTACAATTAGATATTTCAGAGACCCATACCAATTTATAAAAATATCATTAGATCTCATGCATAGCTTATTAGATGGTCTTATTAGTCATTAACCTAAAAGGCACATTTTAGCTGACTTTATCCTATACCACCAGGGTTGTTGTTGTTTTTGTTTGTAAGCCTGTTCTAAACATTTAGAACAACACCTGACTTTCGCGATAAATGCTCAAACATTCATTGATTAATTGGATTTTACAGCTGATAAATTATGCTTCAGGTTTCTCATTTAACGTTCCATGTAAACATCACATCCAAAATACGATCCATACTAGGATGATGGACATACTAATGTGTATTTAAAAGTACTCCATTAGGCCTTTTCCATCATGGAACCAAAAAACATGAGGTTTTCTTTGCAAACACAAGTGGACGTCTCATATTCTGCAGGTCATTGTGCAACGGCCTCTGTTGATGATGCATGCTTGATTACAATGCTTCCGCCAGGTTCAAAAAACAGTAGTGAGTAGTTATTCTAGAATTTGGGGTCAGATGGGTTTTGAATAATGGGTTCTTGTGGCTTTTTTTTTTTTCTCCACCAGATTTTCAACAACTCTGCCTCTGATTGGTTAAAAGCCTACTTATTGCCTCCGTTGGTTAAGGTTAGCCAGCCAGAGGCAGAGAATGTGGCAGGACTTGATGCAAATCGTAGTTGTCAAAAATCTGGTATTCTTGTGAGGTTCAACAATCATCCCCAACCAATCCTGAACATCGCTCACCAGTCAAAAAGTCCTACAACGGAAGTGCCTTGTCGGTTTGGAATGTACCTAAATGCTTTAGGTCACTCAGGAGTCCGTTTAGACGAATAATCTGTTCAGTCACATACGAGACACATTTTTATAATTGACCCAGAATTAGAACCAGGGCCAAGGGTCTGGACCAAAAGAAAAATTAAACTGGAATTACATGTGTAAGTGTGTGTGTAAGAAACAGGTTCCAGTGAAGTACAGAATCAGATATTTGTTACATGAGAAGCCTGCAGTCCACAGATACTTTCTTTTCACAGGAGCTCCTTCCTGTAAGGAAGTTTATTTATGTGCGAGTTCAGACAAGATGTTGTAACAAGGTGAGTGACGTCACCCATCTCTGAACAGACAATAAAGATGATACTACTATGACCGCTCTGAAAGCTTACTGGTCTGAATTCAGGGTGCATTCACTCCAAGTATGTCTGAAACAGTTTATTTAAACTCCTGAGTGTTTTTTACTTTTTGTAAATGTAAGTGATCCCTGAGCAGAACTAAAAACCACAAAGAAGTTCTTGGAATACAAAACATACCAGATTCATTATGTAATATTATGTAATGCCAAGATCTATAACCTCATAGGTCGTGTGATTGATTTATTTATTTTAAGATGAATGATAATCGGTGAAGTGGAGACAACAAATTGCATTGTAATTGTGTATATTTACTGTTGGGTGGTTTAATTTGTCACAAACATATTTTATAACCTTGGAATGTTTTGTACTAAAAGTATTTATTTGTTAAGTAACTATAGCTGTCATAATTGTAGTGTATTAAAAAAATACAGTATCACTGTGTTCAGGATAAACCAAATTATCTGCATAAACCTCTAGTTTCATTCTTTATATTCTTCACATTGTTCTAAGTGAAATAAATGGAAAACTTTGCATGCAAATGACAAAAACCACATTTCAAAACAATACTTAAAATACTTTTATTCTTTACACTACTGGTGTTTTGTTTGATACCTCATGGCACACAGCCCAACACATGAAATTCACTCTTGTGATTTGGTGATTATGGCTAGTTTCCTGAAATTGGCTTTGTCTGCTATAAATGTCATGCATAAAAGACAAAAGTTGCATTGTTCTCAAAGTGCATTGCATTTCAACATTGTTGTACAATTTTATGGTGCACAAACCCCCCCCCCCCTTTTAAAAGAGTCTTCTGGATATCACTGAGAAAGGTCTTTCTGCCTCGGGTTCTCTTTAAAGTTATTTAATAAGTTACATTTATTTGGAAGTGTATCGTGTGGACAGAGTCTGCAGTGTAAACATAGGCACGCTAGTTATAACTGGCAATTACTGTAAGCCTCTAAAAGAGGTTTAATAACTTTAAGGTTTGTACACGTGCCACTATGGCTGACTGGCTTTTCAAGCCAAAACCAAAAATGTATCATAGGAGGATTAAAAAAATCCCCACACTATTCTAACGAAACTTGTATCCAGACGTAATAGATAAGTAACATGCAGCCAAAACCTTCTCAAATCCCTGTAACAGAAGGTAGGCTGAATAAAATACTTTATGCTTGTGGTTAATAAGACTCAACGGTGTATAGCCACGCTAGAGGGCCCATGAGGCCAGAAAACTAAAACTGGTGGATAAAAAATAAAGAGGAAAGAGGAAACTTTGACTCTTTTATAAAGTGTTGAGCCGAGTTGTCCCGAGGATGTCATTGCGTCCTCTGAATAGTGGCCATTTTAGGACATCTCAGACTCAGCCTGGTTTATCTTTTAATCAGTCTAAGCTGTACTAAATGTATTAACATGCTAATGATCAGCACCCCCCAAATTTAGTGTGTTATACATGCTAAACTTTAGCAAACTAACATGCTAACATTTTTGGGCTTATAGAGCATGCCATAAGTCCTTCTCCAGCCACGCGGCTGACTTCCTGTTGGCATCATACAGCTCTTCTTGACTTTCCAAATATTATAGGACTTGATTTAATAAAAAAAAAAAGGTTTTGGGGGAGTTGTGACGCTCCTTTTCTTGTCAACCACACTTGACTCACAGCCCAGCTCTGATCCTGGGAGCTTGGGCCGGGCGTAGTGAACTTTTTTTGGTTTACATCTGTCTTGCCGTGTTCGCCCACATCCGTTTGACTTTTCTTGGTAACTCTATTTTTCTTTCCTTAGCTTCTTCTGTCATCGTCATCTTCGGTCTCTTCTCCTCTGCCATTAGCTAATGAAACGTCCATAGAGGCTGTCTCCAATACAGGAAGACTCTAATGTTACATAGCGTCAATAATGTGTCTATTCCAAAATGTCACACTATAAATTTAAAAGTTATATTTGAAGTCTGTCTTGCTCGCATGCTATATGTAGAACGAAAGAGTTATTGGTTGCTGTGATCATTCTGAAATAGCTTAGATCTATCGTTTAACCTCAGGGTTCAGCTAATGCCGATGGGAATTTGGTTATTACTTCATGATTAGATACTCGAAACAAGGACAAGAGGACATTGGGATCACCAAAATTGTTAGATTATCTAATCAGACAATTAGATAACACGAAGCTCTGTACCAAATATCACAGCAATCATCTAAATCTGTTTTGGACCGACAGCATCCATATTAGCATCTCTGGCACCAAGCTGCTAGCGTGGCTAAAAAACCCAGCAAGCACTTACTTTATTGCACACAACCTCAATTTGAGCCCTGTCTTTGCAGTCAAAAGACAAATGAGTGATTTAAGTCCTAGCCAGTGATTTCACAACTTTTCGAAGTGTGCATACCCAGACATGGCACATACAGAAGTAATAAAATATTATTTATAAAACACAAAAGTGTATAAAATTAAAAAAAAGAGTCTGTTCTGTGAATGTGCTGAGGGTTTTAGTGGAAGTTGTTTTTTTGATAAGTGTATTTACACACCTTTCTCAGGCTACTTCATTCATTTGTCCGTCTTGCTTTCAATTAGAGGAACTCTAATTTCCCGTCCTTCTTCTTTGACTTGATGAGCATCTTCTCTCACTTCTGTCCGCTTTTAATGCTCTCCTCCCTCTGTCCTTTCACACCTTGGTGTTTTATAAGTACATATACCCTGTTGTGGAAGTAGATTACATGGGGTAGGAGAATATTCATTATTTCTCATCCCCGCTTTTCTGTCTTCATTTTTGCAGTCCATTCTGCTTCTGCGCCTCGTCTTCCTCCATTTCTCCCTCTTTCTACACCTCTATAGTCTTGTAATATATCTTGGTATATATTGAATCCAGCTGGCTGTACAGAGCGTGGAAGGAGGGTCTCTTGGAGGGCTCAGGGGCCCAGCACTCAATCATGATGTGGTAAATAACTTGAGGACAACGGGCTGGACAAGGCAGCCGAAACCCTGATGACAACAGGTCCAACACTTCCTTGTTGCTTTTTCCTAAAAGAGAGTGATATTAATGCATGAGAATTGGAAGAGTTTGCATACGTTTCATCCTTTTTTCTTTTGCAGGCACAAAATACAAGATGTTCAGTACTCAACTGTGCAGATACAGACAGCTACCACAACTATGAGAACATCAGAAATTGCTGCAATAGCTCAACTTTGAAAGGTAAATTGAACATGACTTTGGAGTTTCTCAATTTTTTTTTTAAGGCCACAAACACACACAGTTGTTATTTTATTTAAAAACTCAGTAATTTCCTAAAACAGCTGGACACTGTTACGTTTGCTCAAAACTACAAACCCAAGAAAATAATGCATTTGTTTATGAACACTTTCAGCAGCGGATAATACACATTCGGTGCTCTGGTGAGTTTTTGCACTGACTGGGACATTTTCGACGGAGACCTTTAATGAGGGTCACTATCATTACTATTATATCAATTTCTGCATAAATATGCCTATACCAGTCAAAAGAATCAAGAAATATCCCAACTCCAAACCCTAGATTGATCCTCAAATAAAACAGAGCCTGAAAGAGAAGCATGAAACTTTCAGGCTCAAAGTCTGGGTTGGTCTCAGGATGGAAAACTGCAACATAGAAAATGAGGTTCTGAAAGTAAAACTGGAATGTAAAGACAAACTGAACTACAAAATAGGCAAGCACTGATTCAGGATTTTTACCATACTGTATATAAAAAAGGTTATTACACAGAAACTACCACGTGTGTTTCCAGGTAACAAGTCACAGCCTTAAACATAATTTTCACAGTTTTAACTTAAAACGAGAGGGAATGTTTAGGGCATAAGGGAGGATGGATTTCTGCATTATAATATGGCAATTACCTTATTTTCACATCATTGTGAAGGTAATATACCGATAATATTGTGAAACATCAACCTATATTACCTCATTATTATCATTACCCAATTAATGTCACCATATTACCATTTCTTAATCCAAATATTGCAATGATATTACCATTTTATTGTTAGTTTATAATATTACTAAATAGTTTTGACCCATTGCTATATTTAAGTGTGTTTTTGGCCCCTTATTACCCTGTTACATATAGATCTCAGTCTAATATTATCCAGATATACCCATTGTTAATACCAAGCTATTAGCTGGTTATTATATGGTATTACCTGTTATCATACTATCATTAAACTATTATGTTATTACAGAGCTGTAATGTAAAGTGCTACCTCTTCATCCATTATGTCAGTGGGAAAGCATACTTAAAATACTTTCCACTGATTTAATAAACACAGGAATCAATCTGCTAGAAAGCTCTGCAGGTTATATAGCTGTAAATCTCCATTAAAAAATTAGAAAGAACACTATACCTTCATAAGGCATCTTGCCGCGTGACATCATCTCATACAGCAGGACCCCAAAAGACCAGACATCTGATTTTACAGAGAACCGCTGGTGAAGTGCCGCTTCTGGAGCCGTCCACCGAACCGGGATCTTTGTGTTTTTACTGGCCGTATACACGCTGTCCTGGAGAGAGACAATGAAAGTGAATAGAACACATGCACACTTGATTAACAGAGAACTGTAATGTGTTTCTCAAATTTAAGAATACATTTCCCATCAATCCTCATTAGACAGTGTTTCTTCTTAATCAGATTATTATAATAATAATAATAATTAGACTTACTGTACACCTTAGTTTTGTTTCTTTGGCTTCTATTTCAAATAAATATACAACAATTACACAATTACATAATCACACAGTAAAACATACACCTACAGTTGTGCCATAAACAGAAAATGGAAAGCAGTGCAGCAGACGGAAATAAGTTGGGTTACAACCTACAAACAAACACATTTAAAGTTATTTCACATTATTTGACTCTGTCGGACAGAAAGATAACAAACTGCCAGTGTTAATGTCTAACGCCATGCAGAGAGAAGATTTTAAATAAAAATGTTTGTGTCCAGGAAAACTGGATTAAAAGTGTGTATTTCCTGCTAAACCTGCTTCTCACTACAATATTTCTATTCTAAGGTAAAACGCAGCAGAAATGTTCTCCCCGGAGAAGCTGATTTATTTACAGTGAGTAATGGCGGGTGGTGATGGCGCGGTGGATAAGACACATGCCTTTGGAGTGAGAGACCCGGGTTCAAATCCACTGAGACACCAATGTGTCCCTGAGCAAGACACTTAACCCCTAGTTGCTCCAGAGGCGTGCGACCTCTGACATATATAGCAATTGTAAGTCTCTTTGGACAAAAGTGTCAGCTAAATGTAATATTGTCTAATATTATGTGGTTAATTATTACACACAGAACCTTTTAAGCTTGCTCTTTCTTTGCTCATATAAAGTCTTTTGATATTTTGTAGCTCAGTATGAATAAAATATTAAGTTTTGAGTGCAGCTGGAGGATGGAGTTACACATTAAGTATACATGAGTTTACACAGGAACAACCAAGCACTCTATACATATTTAAAAAGAACACGGATAAACAATTAGCATTATACTAAAATAAGATGATGGTTCTTGACAGATGATAAATAACCCCTCTCCTGTGTTTGTACATGCGGTCTCTCTCTCTTCCTCACAAACCTGCTCACCTTAATAATCCGAGCCAGACCGAAGTCGGCCACCTTGCAGACCAGATCTTCTCCCACCAGGATGTTCCTGGCAGCCAGGTCTCTGTGGACGATCTTTCTGTCCTCCAGGTAGGCCATGCCCTCTGCAATCTGACTGCCCATGTAGATCAGATGAGCTGATTTCAGCATCTGGCCTTGAGCAGCTACAAACACACACACACACACACACACACACACACACACAAACACACACTGTCAAGCAGGTGATCAGGGCTGGTCTGAAGGTCGCTGGTGCAATTCCCAGCCCCCCCCCCCTAGTCCAGTCAAGTGTCTGGCACCTTGCATGGCAGCCTCTGCAAGGAGTATGCAGGTGTTTCTGAATACAAGCCTATTTACCATTTGACAATCCAGAGTCCAAAATCCTCATATGTGCACACATACGTGGCAAATAAAGCTGATTCTGAGCAACATGGATTTGTCTTTCTGCAAGGTTGCTGTTTTCGATGAATCAAAAAATGTAAACAAGGAGTTTTGATACAGGTACCAAGACAATACTTACACATTTTCCACAAAAGAGTTTTCGTTATACAAAGTCCTACATTTGAGTTAGAAAATTATGCATACAGTCACTTAGATATTAATCCTAGCCCCAGTATATAGTGTGCATTGTAATAGTAGTTTTGCCCTGTAAACTAAAGAAATCTGTGACAAATCTATGTTACTACAAGACAACAAGGCTCATCTCCCCAATTGAATTTGTGAAGGATTTTTTTTTTCCAAGCTAAAATGTGTAACATTGCTCTTTAAAGTTGTGTGAGCACAAAGGAGCCATATTGTGTAAAATGATGGTTGAATCGGCAACAATGCTTTCTATCCACATTTTCAGCATAGGACAGGTTTTATAACTGAAACATTTTGGTCTGTACTCAAACTATTAAAAAAGGTACAGTACCCAGCAGACAAGCAAACATGTCCCTCAATTAAGGGCCACTTTCCTTATGCTGCACATCATGTTTTTTTTTGTTAGATTACATTTAATTGGCAGGGACTTTTTGTCCAAAGTGACTTACAAGTACATTCAGACTTGATAGGTACAAGAACTATCGCTCTTAAACAAACAACTAAAGGTGTGTTCATTGCGTAGTGTTTTTATGAATACCCCTCATTTCCAGAAAATGAGTGGCAGAAGTTTGGAATGAATCATAAAGCTGAATTTGTATTGCCGTGTAGATGAGCAAACAGACGCTGCATTAGAAACAGCACTGTTATTTGAGGACACATTACGTTTTCTACTCTGCAATACAAAAGCAGCACTAAACTGTTTGCTAAGGGTGTAACTGTCAAACAATGTCACGTTAAACATGATTCTTCTGCTCTGTTCAAGGCTGAGAATAATGGTAGATACTTTTTTTTGCAGGGGTAAGGAGGAAATATGACAACCTGCATGTAAACTGAGAGGTAGAGTAACAACTTTAATGCAACATGTCCAGGAATATTTCTTCCTTTTGTTGCATGACAGGTTTCAGTGAGGTACAGTACGGTACAGTAATGACATGCAGACACAAACACAGCATGAAGAATTAAACTAGTGCAATGAGAAATATCGGAGTCAAACTTTTCACACTTGCTCACTAAGACTCCCTGTGATTAAAGCGTTTTTGTAAAACGTCAGAACAATATTCCTCTGCCGAGCAGAGCTGCCAGTGCACAGACTATAATTCCATTTGCTTTGGATTTAAGATTTAACGTCACTTGGCCTAAATACTATTTCAAGAAATTCTCAAACCCAAGGCACCTAAATTAAGTTCCTCATTGCATAGTAAAGCAACAGTGGAGTCTGCGCTTTCAGAAAGCATATAGCTGGCATTCAGAAAAGGGAAACAGACCAATCTAAACAATAGCTGTCCATGAGGAACTGATTTACCACCAGATTTTTGTACAGAAGGGATGACATGTATGGCGTTGTATGGGCTTTTGTGATGTCCGGTTATGTGCACAGTGTGCGTTTCTGCACTCACAGGCGAGGTAGGACTTGAGGTTTCCTTTGGTCATGAGCTCCGTCACGATGTAGACCGGTTCTCCTCTGGAGCACATGGCCAACAGCTGGATCAGCTTCGGGTGATGGAGGGTCTTCAGCGCCTGAAGCTCTTTCACAAACTCATCCTGCTTCATGTCCTCTGAAGAAGGATGGGGAGAAACAGAAATATTGGTGAATTTATACCTTATTTGATTCTCTTAGTTGCTCTTTTGTCGTTTATGCTGCTTTCATTCAGTTGGCTTTACATTCATCTTTACAACCACAACTGTCTTCTATTCTTCATGCAGCCTCCCACATTTCTCCATTTGTCCCTTATTTCCAAACTTAACATTTTTACCTTTACACTCATTTCATTAATCTCTTGATCCTTACCTTACAATATTTCTCATTTTCTCCCTCTAACCCTTCATTAATTCCTGCCAAACTTTTTTTTAAGCAGCTTTTCTTTTACCCTCACTCTTTGAATAACCTCCACTGCTCTCTCTGTCCATTAATGTGTAACTTAATCCTTCCATTTGTTATTGAAATGTCACTTATTTTTTTTGTCCATATTTAAGCTTTAGCCTCCTGAATGAACGCTCTGCATTGGCAAATGAAAAACATGCAAGGTAGGATACTTTATATCTTGTGCTGCATTGGGCTAATTATTTTGTTACCTTGCAAGTATCCGGGCAGAAAAGGTAAATGTTGCTGCCATGAAAACGTTATCCGGGTTGTAAAATCCGGCTTTGTTTATTTTATCTGATGAGCCTAATAGTCCCTGGTGTCGTTAGCCGTTTTCAGTCTGCACACAGCCTTAAACAGTAACACCAGGCTTATTTTAAAAGGTAATGAAGTATTAAGGATGAGTGAAAGAATTAAAAGAAACCATTCATCTCTGTCAGTATCTGGTCTTTGGCTGAAAAGTTCAAGCCCTCTTTCACCTCAGCAACACTTTTGGGTGTGGTCAGAAGTGTGTTTTGACAGGACATCACGTGATCTCAGCAGCGGGAGTTGTCCACTTGTGACAGAGTAGTACAAAAGCACAACTTTATTCACAGATTTTGGTGAAACTAGCGGTATGGGGCACTGAATTTACAGTTAATCAGACCACAAATGAGACAAGAATTAGGTTGGAAAAAATATACAATCAAGTATATTCTATCTGGGGGCCGGGCCTCACGGATTACTGTACAAAAACACATTTAATTCACTGAAAACATCCTCCTCCCGGCAGCCCAAAGCTCCTATGCTAGCAACACTCCCCCAGTTCCCAGTCTGGGCAGAGTCAGCTGATAGGTAAACTCTGTGAATCTCTAAGAGCTGAAGCAGAGCAGCCTGAGGACATCAGAGGGAAAACCAGAAAGAAAAAAAATTAAATATGATAATAAAAGTTTGACCAAAATCATTGAATAAGATATAAAGGTGTGTTTTCATACTGTCATCACTGAAGCCCAACCGCCCTCGTCTTTTCCAATGCTGAAAAAATGTTGAAGAATCAGCTTTGCTATTGTTTTGATGGAAAAAATTTTTTATTTAATGTACCCGATATCTCAAACATGATCTTCAAATACATCATTTATATTCTTCACAGTATCTCGTACCTTGTTTCAGTGTCTTTATGGCCACTTTCTTGTTCTTTGTGGTCCACACAGCCTCCCACACTTCTCCAAAATGTCCCTCTCCCAGTTTCTTGTGGAGTCTGAACTCTTCTCGAGGTGTCTCCCACTGCTCCATGTCAAACAGCTCCCGCTGCACAGAGACGACAAAAAAATCAAAAAACTGTTTAAAACACGTGCTGCAGAGATGCAAAACCAAATGTGCAAATCTGTTTTATTACATTTTCCAACACTGGAGGATAGTGTATTTTAAATATTGATAATAATATGATGAAAGCACGAATCAAGTGTTTGTATAAATGTTTATGTAATAAACCAAAGGAGGAGTTGAGGCAAAGTATGTCATTGATTGTGGACTCAAAATGAGAATAATACCTCAACATTAAATGGCATATTCTGGGCACTTTACCTCAACATTGATTGTTGGTTTTCTGACTGGTTGTGTCTGTTTTCTGTTCACATCTCATGAAAATTATATATCAATCTAACTGGGGGGGAGATCGAGATGACCGGAGACACGACCAAACCAAGACCAGATGCAATCAGGTTTTAATGTGAGTCAAAATTTAACTTTCAAATAACTATTTTCTAATTTAACAGTGGACTAAAACCTGGACCATGATGATAAAATCTTGAAATATTTGGTTAGAAATTTTGTCTTCACCATTTATTTGTCACCTTGTAAAACTTCCCCAGATAATAAAAATCCCAAAATTAGCCCAATGCAGCACATAAATTAGATACTTGAAATCAACTTGATCAGATGATACACAAAGAAACTTGTTGGCCACACTGTTTATGTTGCCTCAGCCTGGTTGCTTCAATTTACATCTTTTTTTCATTAGCTTAGACATATTCAAATAAATTCATATAAACAAATGAATGATGACAGTTTTAGTTCGTCTCTGCTGCAGAAGCTTCAGCAACGTAAAACACAATAGTTGCCTCATGTATAAACCCTCTCCCAAACAAAGCTCCGTCTATATCGTTCAAAACAAACTAAAATAAAAAGGACATTTACATTTAAATAATTTGCTACATCTTAGTCCACTTTATCCAGAGATCACCAGAACATTTTCTGTCAACATAAATAATTATTGCACGTTTGAAAAAAAGAGCAGCAAAAATATTTAGTAGATTGTTTTGTTAATCCCACTTAATTAAAATGTTTTCTTCCTGCATTTATAATTATGCATGACATAATCTCGCTAATGTCTTTAAGTTTGACAAATCTAACCACTTGGGTTTTCACTCAGTCAGCTGGGCAATTTATGAGGCATTTAAACAGCAGAATAAATCTGCTTTTAGAAACTAAAAGCTAAAGATGAATCAGACACGTGATACAAATGTGGCCACATACCATGCTTTATCAGTTTTAATTGACTATGTCTCTTTGCACAAGATTTTGTTTGTAGCCAAGTCAATAAAAAGTGATTGAAAGCATCGTTATTGACTCTTTTTACTGGTAAAACATTTAACTCACGGTATTTAAATTCAATCTAAATGGGAGTGTCTTATTCTTGCGTTTGAAGGCCTGAATGATCAACCATTTGACCGGGTTTAAGCCCTGTGAAGCTGCAGCTATTGTGTGACAATGGACTTCATATACATGAGAAAACACTTCAATAAAGTATGGGTTTAAAAACGAAATGAGCCTATCTGCTTTGTTTTAGAGCTTTTAAATCATGAATGTTCGAGATTGACTGGAAATAAAAACAATTTGGCATTTTTCAACTATTTATAACTTCATCCATTAAGCGTTCTTGTTTTGCTTGACAACTTAATGTTTGGTAGCAGCTCCACAGTGTATATTCCCAACTAACTGCTTATTTTTTGAAACTCCAATATCAATTGTGTTGTAGCTTCCCGCTGGTTGTTTTTAATTAAACAAAGTGGACTTTTTTTAAATGTTAAACCACCTTTCTTGAATCACATCAGTTTAATGAAGTGCAGCAGGGTCATCCAATACAAATGGCACGAAAATCAATACTTACAAACATGTAATAGACTAAATCTGATGTTTACTGTTTCTGGAATTAAAATCTATAAAAGCTTATAGAATATTTAAGTTTTTAAAAAACGCTCAACAAAAAGAAATGACATTTAAAAAAGGAATTTTTGCTGCTGTACTTTTTCTCTTAGTAGTCTCATTTACTGCCTGTTGGCTTCTCATGTGTGAGGATTTATGAGAAAAACCTACGTGTAGTTATATTTTATGTAGTTTTTCTGTGTGTACTCTGCAGGTTGAATATGTGTTTCTGCCTCAGTGTGTCCATGGCCTCAGACCCACAGCCTCCTCTGGAGGCTGTGGGTCTGGGTCATCTATGTGGGAAAAGCCACAACTTGATGTTTATCTTTTTATCTGTAAAGGTTCCATATTATTCCTTTATCCTAAAACAACACTCCATAATAATGAAACATGTAACTGTAATGTGAAAAGTGGGTGTGCTGCTGAATAGGTTTTTTTCTCATTTTGCAGGATAAAGATACTGAGGAACCTCTGAGCTCCGGCGTCTCCCGCCGGGCACGAACTGATGAGCCATGAATAAGGAAAACAGCTCACGGGGGGCGGGGAGTTGTTTAAGCTGCAGTGCAGAGATAGTGCACGTAATTACAGAACTGCCACGTGATATTATTCTAAAACTGTTCCAAATATTTTATTCACTGGTTAATTACACTCCAAACATGGTTGCCTCTTGGTATTAATTCATACACATAAAGCATAAGACTCACTCATTAAATTCCTGCTGCAGGGCAACAATAGAAAGATTAATTCAGGGTCTTTTGTTGCACTTTTTCCCCCAGATTCCTTCTGCAAAGACAAAAGCTGCTCAAATTAAAACAGATACTGGAACATAATGGATTAAAAACTGGAGCCTTTGCTGCCTGAAATTTGACTTAAATTATAAGCATCAGTGGGAACTGTTGTTGTGAGTCATTATTGGCTGCTGTTTTATTAGTACAAAAGTGCAGATCCAGTTTAGTTGAGCTCCATTTTGCCAAAGTCACCTAGTAGTAATGTGCAGAGAGATGGAACGTAATGGACCAACATTAATACGACTAACATTAATGAAGTGTCCTTTGTGTGAAATTGCTCTGACTGTTTTCCTGTTTTATTGCTGACTGAACTTTAGAGAGAATGAATGTCCTGCCTCTGCTGCTGATGGGATTCACTGTCTGTGAAGAGACTACTCAGTATTTTGGTATCAGGAATATGATTTGACATTTTAGATTTGTTTCCGGTGAGAAATTGATTTTATATAGTTACTTTGCTGTTGCTGCTCTATATATATATAAAAAATTAAAAATGTTAGTCTGACAGCTAACCAAATACACCCTTTAAAAAAAGAGGTAAGAAATTAATCAGAGATAAGACAAGAATAATACCCAAGTGCTTTATAGCTTACATGAGTTAGTGAACTTTTGGTGAAATACTACTTCAACATTCAGTGTGTAATATTTAGGGGAATCTGTTGACAGAAATGTAATAACTTCCATAACTATGTTTTCAGCCTTACATAATTATGAGCCATTTTTATCTACTACTACATCCTTAAATATAATAACGGTGGTAGTAGTAGTCTATTTAGTTTATTAGAAGTTGTATTATTATTATTATTATTATTAGTATAATAATTATTTTATTTTTATTAGAAGTTTATTATCTAGTTTATTAGAAACAAGAAAAGAGAAATTTGGACAACTGGAGGATCACACGTATTATTTAGCCCAAGAGTCGACAGATCGTGTCGGCTACCGTAGCTTCTCATGCGCTTGGAAAGGGAGAGGTGACTGGTGACTTATGATTCATGTGGTGTCAGAATCACTTTTGCTTCTTAAATCTTTATAGCAAAAAGAGGAATTTAATATACATATTTACATTACATATTTTGCAAATGTGTAATTTGCTGTATGGTTATAACTGTGAGTTTGCTTTCCACGTAGAGTGAACTAGATGTCTTGGTGTTTAAATGCTCCGATAATCTAACAAATCTTTGAAGCGTCCATGTTGATTCCACATTCCAACTGGAGAGCACATGAACATGCACTGAAGTCGGAAAAACAACTTCACAACTTGGGAAATGGGACCATCAGAGGAGCGTGTGAATGCACCGTGAGCCACTGGTTGCAATTCACAACCCTCACCACTAGATGTCACTAAAACTTACACACTATACTGTTTGTTTTGTATTACATTCATACTATATTCACATATACATATATTTTATATTCATCGTCACTTTTCTTAGGAGTATCAATAAACTGAGTCAAAATTGCTTTTGCATGGACAGTGTTAGAGCACAAAGTTTATTTGTTTTATTTTGGGGGGCTTTTATTGTGCTGCTGTCACATTTAATTTCTGACCTTGGAGTCAATAAAGTCTTGCTTCATTATCTTGCCTTATAAATGTGTTTACACCGTATTATAAAGGCAGGTCCGCAAATGTTAGTATTATGTTCAGGTGTGTGTTCACTGTTTAACAATAGATATAATCAAACATGCACACGATAACTACATACATACTATGCATTTACATACATAAACATGGTATGTGCGTATGGATGATTTTGACGGACTCACTTTGGGGCAGTGGCACAAACGCTGACACAAGTTATTAATAGTGAACTTGTTAGCCAATAATTGCTTATTTACACATCCGCCAAACACGTAACATTCTTTTAGACTCGTGTTTCTGTCCATGTGACAAATGTAAGTCCTGCTGAGGGAAATCTCTGGCTCTTCAACTTTATTATCCCCAAGGGGAAATGTTTTGGTTAATGCTCTACTAAATTTACCAGATAGTCACTAACTTTGTCTGCCTGTTTGATGATGTGGTGGTAATGTTCAGTAGGTTTACCAGAACCTTTTTGGTGAAAACAACTGCCTGCTGCTGCAGATGTTGAACCAAAACAAATAGCTGCAAGACTCTAAAACACACCGTAGAGTTGAAGGGACCTACAAGTCTGGTAATAATTCATCACTACATGGTAATATATTACACAGTAATTTGAAGTAAATATTGATTAGTACAGGTTTAAGTTTAGGTGCAAAGGAATGAGTTGTGTCAGCTTGGATCCTCACAATAGAAGTAAAAACATTGTGTTTTTGTGTCCTACCTGCTGGGCACAGGGCTCCACCAGCAATACTCCCAGGCTGTGGCCGTTTTTTTGGTAGTACGAGATCAGTTCTCCCAGCGTAGCGAAGGAGACGTTTTCCGACACAAAGTATGCGCCGATGGAGGATCGCTGGATCCGGAAATGGGACACCTTCCCCTCACTCCGGGCTGTAAGAGGGAGGGGAGAGTTATTGCATGTTCAAATACACAAAAAGTCACATCCTAACGAATCCTGAATAAACTGACTGAACCTCATTAATCCAGTGTTTACTTGGAAAATACTTATTTTGGGTGCTTTTGTGCTGAAAAGGACAGCAGAGAAAAGAGATCAGGACAGTTTTGCAGATCAGTAGAAACACAATGACAGAGTAGATGCAAATACACAGCAGTAAACAGCCCTGCAGGATAAAATACTTCTGCATTAAATCTGGGTTATATTTGTTAGGTTATAGTAAAAACCCTTATCTCAAGAGAAATTTCGGTGATTGTATGTAACTCTGTAGTTCTGACCTCTTTCACATTGAAATATTATCATCACAATAGAAAGTACCAAAATTAAAAGACCTCATTATGCAGAATGCCCCGTTTTAGAATAATGAGTGTTTATTGGATTTTAATTATTGATGCAAAATCTGATCTTAACCTGTAATACATCATAAGTAAGTAAAAAGTACAATATTTCCATCTGAAATGTAGTGGAGTGGAAGTATAAAGTACCTCCCAAATGGTACTTTCGTAAATGTAATTTCCACCACTGGAAGACAAGCCACTTGTGTATACTGTCTTTACAGTATCTTTAAAACAACAATGCAATTCAAGATGCTGTTTATAAATACACAACGCGACAAAGACAAGATGAAATAACTAAATGCAATGGAAAAACAAATGGGAACATCTGTGGTGCATTTCCTCAAAAGTTATTCTGCAACACTGACCATTTCTAACTCTGACACTGACTCCCAGTAGTATACAATGTTTTTCTACGAACAAAAGCTTATGCCATCAGAATTATTTGACAGATGCTGTAATCGCATGAAAACTCTACACATAGTGGGGCGAACCAATTAATCGAAACATTATGAAAAGCACAATATGGTCAAGTGCAATAACCAAATCGCAGAAGCTGCAGTGAAAGAAATGAAATGAAAAATGAAAATTGTGATGCAAAAATAATCATACCCACTTATAATGAATCACAGCATAAATCATGCAGCACTACACAGTGGCTTTAAATATCAAAGAACTGTGGCTAAATACAATTTACAATCAGACATTGACTGCAACATTCTTTTACACATACATGTAGAAACACTAGAGACATCCAGGGATCTGTTCTGCCTTCACTCCCAGGCTCGTATGCACACAAAGTACTGATGATGCATATTTCAGGAGGACCAGCACAGTGAAAATTGAACGTCTAACTGCAGCATTTTCCCCCCAGGACCTAAAGGACCTTGAAAGGCGGTGGGGAGGGAAGGGGAGCGGGGAAGAACGGAAGTCAATGGAGAGAGAAAAAGATGCGAATACAGAAGATGGTGCAGCCAGAGGATGAAAAGAAAGTCATGAGGAGCAGAGAACGAAATGGGCTGGAGGTTGATCCAGGGGAGGGAGAGAGTAAAAACATTGGCTTTAAAGTCACGAATCTCATGAGGGTTATTAGAGAATTGGCTGTGGGCTCATTCATAAAAGTGTCCTCTGATAACAACACCGGGCTTCTAAATGTAGGTTAATATCAGAGGTGGTTAGAGAAGCCAAACACTGTAAAAGTGGTCATCAAATAACTACTTGAGTTAGAATTAAAAAAAGGTATCTACTGGCAAACTTAACTTAAGAAAGGAAAAATAAATAAAAAAACACATGAGCATGAGTAATTAAATGCACACTGCTACACTGTTAGCTTGAATATTTATATTATGGCAGAAAGCAGGAGGAGTTTTAAAGCACAATATTCTGGGTGTTGCTATTTATTATTAAGCATATTAGCAATAACACAGTAGATTGTCAGCTCAGTGCCAGCACGGTTCTCTGAGCCATACTGTGCACAACAACTGTAAATATTAGCTGCTATCACTATTTGAAAGCCATACTACCATGCTGTAGCTTCAGCCGTTATTCTGCAATGAACAGAGCCATGTGGATGCATGACTACAGTAGGATAATAAAGCACTTTCCTTTCATTTTTCTTTTTCTTTTTGAGAGTTAGATGAGAAAATCAATGTCAATCTCGTGTGTGTGTGTATTACGTACAGAGCTGGATCCGGGGGGTAATTAGCTTAGCTTAGCATAAAGACTTAAGGTGGGGGAAACAGCTATGTGGCTTCCTGCAAAGTTAAGAAATACCTACCAACAGCTCTAACTCACATCAACACAGTATACTGTAACTAATTCTAGAGGAACAGCAGTTTATCCAGCCACACAGCTCAAGACTCCAGGAAGTCACTGCACTTGGCTGTTGTGAGCCAAGAAATAATTACAGCGCGTAACTCTAAACTTTTTACATTTATGTTTGTATGCACATTCAACAAATTAAATATAACGTGTTTACATGTGAGCTTTAGAAGTGTTGATAGGTTCATTTTTTACACCTTTTGTTTCCTTCTTCCAGCCTATATGTTAAGCTATGCTAATTACTTCCCAAGACTAAATAAATACTTCATGCACAGTCATGCAAATAGTATCATTCTTCTCATCTAACTCTCAAAAAGAAAGAATATTTCCAAGAATGTGGAAGATATCTCATCACATTTTGCCAGGAGCATTTGTCTTGTGTCACCTTCCTTTTTATCTCTTCCTCATTTTTTTTAAGCTCTACATAAAAAAAATATTAATAGAAACATTTATAGAGAATTAACACTTAATAGTAACTCATTTAAAAAAAATGTGTTCAAATATAGGCTATATGGGAAAAAAGTAAAGTGAAACTTTTTTGAGCAATATGGATACTTGTACTACAAACTAATACCACAGATTATCAAAGAATTGTCACCACAGTGTATATTGAGAAGGACATTTTACAATTGAAAAATGTCCTCGTCAGCTCTCTCTAGTGGACAAACTATGTAAAGGCGACTGTTTCATCATGTATAAATTACATGTTTTGAATCAAAATGAAAAATAACATGCAATGCCACACGCCCTGTCTAATTTAGTGCCAACACTTTGTTTATTTCTTCTAATTTCTCTTATGTACACAGATGTGTACATGCATGTACACATACTTAACTATCTCTACCTCCAGAATGTGGTTACACTGAGCCGTTACAGTTTGCACACCAGATGTTGTTAGTTTACTGTGAGGGTCACATCATCCAAACACAAAACTGGTCAGTTTCTAGCTAAAACAATCAGCTCTAAATCCAAATATCAAAACAGAGATTTATTATTTCTATTCAACACAAAGTCGTATCCGACATTTTGGCCATGTACCGTCATTGACCGCCATCATGGCTGTCTGTGGGCACGTTGTGTCACCTCATGCACTATATAGTAGGAGCAGAGAGAGAGAAAGGCAGGGAGATTAAAGGTCAGCAGTGGCTGGAGACGTTGAAAGACTGAAGGGCAGTGGAGGCAGGAGGGGGGTGATGGATGGAGGATAGAATGCATGAAGAGTCAGAGAGAAGGGAGGGAGGAGATGAAGAAGGAACGCAGCGAGTAACAGTAACTAAAAGCTCAGAAGCACTGCAAATGAAGAAAACATCTTCACCGCTACACCAACACATGTGTCACATTTAGAAAGAAACAAATACATCACAAGCAAATTCAACATCAGAAAAATCAGGCCCTACCTCACTCAGTACGCCACGCAGCTTCTGGTACAGGCCATGCTTATCTCTCACCTCGACTATTGCAATGCCCTCCTAGCAGGTCTCCCAGCTTGTGTGGTGAAACCCTTACAAATGGTTCAGAACGCAGCAGCATGTCTGGTTTTTGATCAGCCCAAAAGGACTCATGTCACTCCATTACTCAGTGACTCCACTGGCTCCCCGTGGCCTCCAGAATCAGATTCAAGTCACTAACGCTTGCATACAGAGTGACTACTGGGTCTGCACCAAACTCCAAAATACAAGTTTACGTTCCATCTCGGCCACTGCGCTCCTCCAACGAACGCCACCTGGCTCTGCCGTCCCTTCACACAAAGCAATCCCAGTCCCGGCTGTTCTCATCTGTGACACCACGATGGTGGAACGAGCTACCGCACGCCATCAGAGCTTTAACTTCAAGAAGCTCTAGAAAACTCAGCTCTTCCGAGAACACTTCCTCTTATAACACCTCTAACATGCACTTCCTGTGCTCTTCTACTTCTATCCCCTCACAATTATCTTGTAATGATTGCAGTTTTTGTTAACTCTTACTTCTTTCCCTAGGTATTTACCCCATTGATGTGATTTGTACTATTAGCTCTTACTAGTATTTATTAGTGCTCTTACTAGTATGTATTGACATTTGTAGATCTCGTGCTGAATTTGCTGCTTTGCTGATGCTTGTATGTTGTTCCTCAAATGTAAGTCGCTTTGGATAAAAGCGTCTGCCAAATGAGTAAATGTTAAATTCAGGAAGAAACGCTGCAAATACAGAAATACTATGACTTACAGAGAACAGACATTTTCGTGGAACCAAACTGATGTTGGCTGCTTGTCAGATGTTTCTGATATTACTGGAGATATTGATTGTTTCAAAAAAGGGGTATATTTAATTGTCTGATCATTTTGGTTCTGTAGGACTGAATTGCATTACACAGATATAAAATGGCCATGACAAAATAAAATAAACACCATACAGTTTAACAACTGGCTATTCAGCTTTTTGGCTCTCCTTTATTGACTTCTATATATCTTTTTTGTGCATGCGATAGTTTTGCATAGTGAAAAAGCCCAATGTCCAGCACAAAGGGGAGTTCCCATCTCCCCACCTTTCATATAAATTATCAGAATGCAGTTAAACAACTCACTGCATTAGATTAATAACAAGCTACAAGAAGGTGAATCCTGGTTTGAAGAAAGTGCAACAAAGAAGAAAAGGAAACCAGATGTGGCAAAGAGAAACCTGGATGGATGGATTGTGGCACTTACCGGAGACTGTGTATTCATCACTGTGACTCTCACTGATGCGAACAAGGAAGGAGCCATCTTTGTTTTGGGAGGCCAGCAGCAGTTTCTCAGCTTTCACGCGGTTTATGTTCCCGTAGTACCACCTGCACAGAGAGAAGACAAGATGGAAAAGAAAGAGAGTGTGATTATTGGCGTGTGGAGCAATGCAACGCAAGGAAATACATTAAGCATGACGAATGAAAAGTGGACAAAGACAGAAGAAGAAGATTGTGTTAGCTGACTCACAAAATCAAAACATACTGTACATGCAGGTAAACATGCACACAGATCTAAAGGTGCAGCAAGTATTCAGATCCTTTACTTAAGTATTAAGTCCACACTGTAAAAATATTGTGTTGCAAGTAAAATCCTGGATTGAAAATGTCTCTTAAGTAAAAATAGGTAAGTATAATCAGGTAAATATACTTTTAACTTATTAAAAAGAAAAGTAAATGCAGTAAAATGTCCCCTGTGATTGTTTTACTATTATATTATTCTATCATTATTTTATTGTGCTCATATTAAACCTAAATGCAGGATTTGTGCTGTTGTAATTGTTGAGGTGAAGCTCACTTTGTACTATTTTATCATAAAAAAATAATTAATCATGACAATTAAACACCAATTAATTTTCTTTTAATTCATTAATTGAGTAACTGAGTAATGGTTTCAGCTCTACATGTAGCTGGCAAACAATTGCAATGGAGTAGGAGTATAAAATAGCATGAGAATAAAATACTCAAGTACCTCAAAATTACAGTACTGGAGTTACATTCCAGCACTACATAGATCAGATTTTGCACATTACAAGCTGACAGTCAGAGTAAACAAGGTAAACATTACAACATACATTTATACAGGTCAGTTTGAACTTTAACAGAATACATGACAATGTCCAATACAAAGTCCAGTGCTTATAGGCAATATAAAAGTAATACTTTGGATGGATTTATTCATACAAACTCATAAAGAGAGCAATTCTTCAAGGGTTAAGCTGTAGTTGAGTGCTGGCTGTTTGGTCATATATCAGAAACTGACCTGTATTTACTTTCTGTTATCAATGAGGGCGTGTCTGCTCTCAATGACACTCAGGTTTCACCGGTAGTAACAATGTGCAGCTACGTAAGTACCAGGAGAGAAAGACTGCTTCAAGATATTATCACAGACTCAGAGTGTGTGGGGATATACAGTGGATAGATTAAAGTCTACACACCGCTGTTAAAATGCCAGTTTCTTATGATGTAAAATAATGAGACAAAGATAAATCAAGTCAGAACTTTTTCCACCTTTAATGTGACCTAGAATTTGAATAGAAAAACAAACTGAAATCTTTGAAGGGGAAAAATAAAAAATAGAAACCCTCAAATAACCTGGCTGCATAAGTGTGCACACCCTTAGACTAATACTTTGTTGAAGCACCTTTTGATTTTATTACAGCACTCAGTCTTTTTGGGTAGGAGTCTATTAGCATGGCAATATTTGTCCACTCTTCTTTGTAAAAGCGCTCCAAATCTGTCAGATTGCGAGGACATGGCCTTTGCACAGCCCTCTTCAGATCATCCCACAGATGTTCAGTTGGATTCAGGTCTGGGCTCTGGCTGGGTCATTCTGGTGAAGCCATGCTTTTGTGGATTTGGATGTGTGCTTCGGGTCGTTGTCATGCTGAAAGGTGAACTTCCTCTTCAGCTTTCTAACCGACGCCCGAAGGTTTTGTGCCAAAACTGCCTGGTATTTGGAACGGTTCATAATTCCCTCCACCCTGACTAAGGCCCCGGTTCCAGCTGAAGAAAAACAGCCCCAAAGCATGATGCTGCCACCACCATGCTTCACTGTGGGTATGCTGTTCCTCGGGTTATGTGCAGTGTTGTTTTTGCGCCAAACATACGTTTTGGAAATATGGCCTAAAAGTTCTACCCTGGTTTCATCGGATCATAACACATTTTCCCACATGCTTTTGAGGGACTTGATGGTTGTTTTTGCAAACTTCCGCCGTGCTTGGATGTTTTTCTTTGTAAGAAAAGGCTTCCGTCTTGCCATCCTACCCCATTCATATGAAGAATACGGGAGATAGTTGTCACATGTACCACACAGCCAGTACTAATTCCTGCAGTTCCTTTAATGTTGCTGTAGGCCTCTTGGAAGCCTCCCTGACCACTTTTCTTTTCGTCTTTTCATCAATTTTGGAGGGACGTCCAGTTCTTGGTAAAGTCACAGTTGTGCCATATTTTCCCCACTTGATGATGATGATGATGTCTTCGCTTCCATGGTATATCTAATGCTTTGGAAATTCTTTTGTACCCGTCTCCTGACTTATGTCTTTCAACAATGAGATCTCTGTGATGCTTTGAAAGCTCTCTGCAGACCGTGGCTTTTGCTCGGAGTAAAAAAAATATCAGAATAATCCTACTAGAACAGCTAAACCTTTATTTGTGATTAATCAGTCACTTTAAATGATGGCAGGTGTGTAATGACTTCTAGTTAACCTGAGTTTGAATGTGATTGGTTAATTCTGAACACAGCCACGTCCCCTGTTATAAGAGGGTGTGCACATTGATGCAACCAGGTTATTTGATGGTTTTTATTTTTCATTTTTCCCCCTCAAAGATTTCAGTTTGTTTTTCTATTGAATTGTTAAAATTCTAGGTCACATTAAAGGTGGAAAAAGTTCTGACTTGATTTATCTTTGTCTCATTATTTTACATCATAAGAACCTGGCATTTTAACAGCGGTGTGTAGACTTTTTCTATCCACTGTATGTCAGATCAAAATGATAAATCTAAAAATACTGCCAAGATAAAGTCACTATAAACGCAACAAGTAACATCTATAAGAATATTATAGGAATACAATGTTACTATAAAAGTGAAAATACTGGAGCTGCCACAGTTCTGATTTGAAATTGATTAGTCAATCAACAGAATCAGCATCTATTAGTAATTCCATTATGTCATCAATAAACAGCAGATTGATTGATATAGAAATAATCCTTATTTTCAGCCCTAAAAATACTATTATGTTGCTTTAAATTCATCGGTTAAGGTCATAAAATACTGATCATTGAGCACCACAATACTATTATAAGAATATTATGAAGCTTCATCACAGGAGAAGAGTTTGCCAGACCTTAAAATACGTTTTAAACTCCTGATCTAACACACAGTGTAAGCCTCTGAAAGCATTAAACTCTTCTTGTGAGGCACTTCATTTGTCAGCACATGCTTGAGTACATTTGTTTATGCAATTCTTGTATCAAACACTATGAAAAGACACAGCTTAGTTGGTCATGTAACAATTTTTGTGTAATAAGAGTGACAATAACTTTGACAACAGCCATTTTGGGGGTGTTAAATTTAAAGTGAATTTTGCTTTTTCTTTTTCACCTTATAATAACTGTGATTCACACATTTTGCTCCTTCCTATACATGTAGAAACCAGGACATTTATTTTACTTTCCTTTAAGAGACCATATATACTGGAAAATAGTGATAATTTATCTGACAAATGTAACAGTGAAGATAAACACTCAGTGGCCAGTTTATTAGGTACACCTAGTTAAAACGAATACAGTCTAATACAACAGTCCTGAAATAAATCCTCCCAGCGGCTGTTTTAAAACAGATGTTGATTCAACTTTTGGGGGCTGTAGTTTGTGGTTCTAATATTTAGTAGTCCCTTCTTAATATAAATCAGGTGTACAAAATATTACAAAACCCTCTCAGTATATTTGGTGTTTAAAAACAGGAATTTTATAAAGATGCTGTAGGAGATAAAACAGCAGAACGCACAGTGAGATCTGCCTGAACAGGATTATCTTCTTGGTTGTCTTTTGTACCTGAAATAGAATCAGTCATGTTATTATTGTTCAGAGACAAACATCATCCAGTGCTCCTTATCTTCAGTCTCAGTGGTGTGTTTGAGGACAGTGGGACAGTGTGGAGTCAGTGTCGGGTCAGCAACATGAATAGATATATCCATCTCCAATAGAGAGAGAGAGAGAGGGCTCGGCTGAAACATGATGATTCCCTGCAGTCTGAATGAATAATGGACGACCTACAGCTGCAGACCGGGAAACACGTGCAGGCTCTCGGCTACATTTAGCTCCAGTCTGCTTCAACAGCAGCAGGAGGCTCCAAGTTAGGCATTTATTGTAGTTATAATTACAGCCAAAATGATTAATTGATTACTCTGCGACCATTTTGGTAATTCATTAATCATTCATTAGTCATTTTAGTCTTCTGTGATTATAAAATGAAAATATTTGGGTTTCAGACTCTGTCAGACAAAACAAGCAGTTTAAATATGTAAACTTGGGCTCTGGTAAATTGTGATGTATTGTGATTTTATTTTCAAACTTCTTATGGATCGATCATTAGATTAGATTAGACAATTTTAAAATATGGTTAGCTGCAGCCCTAATTACTTTAAGATCAAGCTGACGTATTGATATTGTTTCTTTTGTCTTATCCAACATGGACTATTTGAATGTATGGACAAAATGTTCTGCTTGTCCGTTCATAGCAGGATGGTGAGGAGCTGATGGGATGTGCTTTAAGCCACTGCCCTTGAGAAAGCACTGAAACCTCCTCCCAAGTGAACGGACTGCCATTGTCACTTACAAGCCCCTGCTTGCCTTTACAACTGTAGGTGTAGCAGTTGCTTTCCTATCCATAAAGATATCGGGCTACTTTGAATGGGCGTCGACCACAATGAGAAACGTGATCCAAAAATGGCCACTCCCATGCGTGGACAGGTGCTGGCCTTTGCTGACAACCTGGGCATGACCTGCCAGGTCTTGTTTAAGATATTTATTCATTTATTTGATAGAGCAGTGAGGAAATAGAGAGAGAGAGGGTGACATGCAGCAACGGCCACAGGCTGGATATGAACCCTGGCCGCTGAAGTAAGGACTGAGCCTTGTACATGGGACGCGCGCTCAACTAAGCTAAACAGGCCCAGAGGGTTTTAATTTTAACTACACTAAAGGTGTCTTTCATGCAAAGAGATAAACGCTCTTTTTTTAAAAAAGGTTTTCATTTTGGCTTTTTTCCTTTAAAGCGATAGTACAGCCAGAGAGAGACAGGAAATGCAGGAGAAAGAGAGGGGACGACATCCAGCAAAGGGCCAGAGGTCGGGTTCGAACCTGAGCCGCTGCAACAAGGAGTGAGCCTCAGTGCGTGAGGCGCATGTTCTACCAACTGAGCTAAACAGTGCCCCAAGGAGGTGAACACTCTTGAGCACAATTTTGGGGGCACAAAAACATGAGACCCCGCATGATGCAGCCTAGGCACACAGAAGGTTGATCTCATCGGGTAGAATACTCTTGCACGCTGGTGACATAAAGCGTTTCCACTGGTGACATGTGCAGCACTGCAGCAGGATCTAAGGCTTTTTCAGAACGTGTTTGTGGAAGGTGAGATACTCCATCAGCATTTTCATGAAGCTTAGCACCCTTATATTTAACTGAATGTGTGTTTGCTCCCTGTAATAGAGCCCATTGTTGCAAACGTGTCGCAGCAATGGCCGGAATATCTTTTAGGGAGCTGAAGATGGATATTACGGGCTGGTGATCAGTAATCAGAGTAAAATGCCTTCCATAGAGGAACTGATTAAACTTTTTCACACCCCATAGAAAGCTCAGAGCTGCTCTGTCAATTTGTGCATAATTTTGTTCAGCACATGTTAGAGACAGAGATGCAAAAGCAGTGGGTCACTTTGAACCATAAATCATTTTAATAACACAGCACCAATACCATATGGTGATGCATCGCAAGCTAGGCACAGAGGGAGGCAAGGGTCATCCTAGGTTATTAGCTGCTTTGCTGCTGTGAATGCCTGTGCACAGACCGTGGTCCACTTCCACTTGCTGTCCTGCTACATTCAGTGGTTACAGCACAGTTGAAAGATTTGGCAGAAACTTGTGGTATTCATCGACAAGGTCCCAGAATGAGCGCAGCTGGCTCACATTTTCTGGCTGTGGAGCATTCAGGGCGGCATTGATCTTCTCCTGAGTCTTGTGGAGTCCACGGCTGTCGATTTTGTGTCCACACAGTACTCAATAGAGTCTTTGAAGAACTCACATTTTCTCCTGTTAGCTCTCATTCCTCTAGTTTTGTTAGGAACAGCATCTAGGTTTGCCAAATGAGTCACATTATCTGGGCCAGTCACAATAATGTCATCCACTGAGTGTCTGGTGTCCCTTGTAACACTTGTCCCAAGGCCAGTTGCCACATCGCTGGGGCACTGGTGATGCCAAACACTAGCCTACTATACTGATAGAGGCCCTTGTGAGTGTTTATTGTTTTCCAAGGAAATACCTGACCATAAACAAGCAAGGTCAATTTGAACATGGGTTAAAGATGCAAAAATGTGATCTATACGTGGGAGTGGATTTAGGTCTGCATGTATTACAGGATTCACTTTCACCTTGAAATCTCTGCAGATGCACACTTTGTATTTTGGTCAACAGGCATTATTGGCGTTGCCCACTCAGACTAGTCCACCTTGGATAAAATCCCTTGGTCTGCAAGGCATATGAAACAGGACGTGGACGCTCTCTTTCAACACCTCTGCATGTTTATCCAGTATCTGTATCAGTTGACCATCTCTACACTTGACTATTCTGTTTGAGGTGATTTGCATGACCTTTATCTTATGCAAGTTAAAGCGCACACCTCCACACTATAGTACATGTTTGCACATTGGTTCTCATATTTCAGTTTTCCCAGTGGAGTGATCCTCTCACCTGTGTACGTTTTCAGTCTCACAGCTGTGCGTTTCAGTTTTGGGGGAAATTCCTTGTAATCTTTGAAGAATATGATGGACAATGCTGATCCAGTGTCCAGTTCCATTTTTAAAGACCCTCCATTAAACTTTAGGGGTCAGCCTTTAGTATAACTCCAGACAGGACATATTCTCTTCATTTGAGTCATCATTGTTTGACTTTGTTACTTCATTTAGTTTTTTTCATCTCTCCGTTCTGCCTTCTTTCCCCATCTATCACTTTACCTTTACACATTTTCTGTATGGGTCTTATTTTATTGCACGGTCTGCAGTCTTTATCTTCAAACCAGCAATCTGCAGGATCATGTGACTTTTTACAGCATCTGAAGCAAGACTGTGTTTTGTCATCCCGTTGTTTTATGTGTAACTTGCTCACTGAGCAGGCTGCAGTGTTTTTGCCTTGTAAACTTGTCTGCAACTTTTGCTGCAGTTTCCATCGATTGGTGATCTCCAATGCGCGAGTCAGTGTTAGTTTGACTTCGGTCAGAAACAGTATCTGAATGCCCTCGTTGTGTAGCCATACACCTGCCTGTCACCTGCCTCACGGCCCCTCCTCCCTAATCAATGCTCTGCTATATACTCTGATAAAGAGCGTTGGAAAACATTCCACTCTTACTAACGTTGTAGGATTTAAGTGCCTCTTTAAAGTCTCTGTGATCTCATCAAAAGTTTTGGTTTGGTGGGAACAATGAAACTGCGGAGCAAGTTGCAGGTTTTAGCACCTATAACACTGTGCAGCCATCCTCCATCAAACCTCTACCGTGTTTTAATCAAAACTGTGTCTCTCACACTTCCAGACTTTTTCCCCACTTGGTAGTATTTCCTTTCCACAGGGTAATATTAACGTTGTTCTTTGTGTTACACACACGTCCCCTCCTCTTGCTGGCTTGTTAATCAATGCAGCTGGTTAATCCATGCTGGGTGGGCAGACAAAAGTTCACAAAAACCAAGCCATGAATATACATATTCATCACATCTCGTCTGTCTGTTGCACGGTAGAGATGCATATGGCCATGTCACCAATTCTGGTATGTTTCTTCACCGACCTTAACAGCAATAATGACGAGTTGAACCACGAGATACAGTTTAAATATCTTTAAAGTGATAATTCGATCACACAGGTATCCCTCCTCAGCCGTATTACTTAACTTATTGACAGACATACTGACTATTGTGTTAACTAACAAAAAGTAGTGCCAGTTGCCCTTTCACTTTAAACTGTGGAAATAATATGTTCTTTTTCCAAATACATAACAATGTTGGTTACATGGGTCCCTGGCAACTGATATGTTACTGCAAGACATGTGCATTCTGCAACATGCCTGAGTCTGTAAATCATGTGTTTGTTGAATGCCATCATGTGTTATCTTAACTCTCTGCTTTCTGTGAAAAGATGGGAGTAGGTTTCTGAGTGTCAGGCTGAAATGGCTACTAGTGTAACAGGTTGCTTAAGTTTAAATGGGTGGTCTGCGTGCCTCAGGTGTATGAAAACAACACTATACGTTTCAGAGGATGTGATGTGTAGACGAGGCTCTTTGAGGGGAAATAAACTGCTTGTCTGGTTATAAAAAGTTTTTTGCTAATATAATGGGTTTAAAATGTGTGTTGTACAGTTCTGCAACTAGACATGTTTTAATAAAAGGAGGTTAAAAGTCAACCCAACTGGTCGAGGCAGTTGGACGCAGACCCTGAGTCATGCTTCAGCTCAAGGCTTCTGCCTGTTAAAAAGGGAGCTTTTCTTGCCTCTGTGGCCAAGTGCTTGCTCATGGTGGGAACTGTTGATTCTCTGTAAATAATATTACAAAGCGTCCAGTCTAGACCTGCTCTATATTAACAGTGCAATGAGATAAGATTTTGAATTGGTGCTATATAAATAAAACATTTCAATTAAATAAGTTAATCAATGTCAATTCTTTATCCATCATCTGTTGATTGAATGATCATAGATTTAACTATTGGTTCCAACTTTAAGAGATGTATCAGGGGGAAAAAAGTCCCATCAGGTCAAATGAAATAATTTCTCTCTCAATATTTTGGTAATCAGATTACATTTAGCATTGGTGGTGACGTCAACATGTCAGTAGAGAGGTCAAACCTCGGTCAGCTGTCAAGATTTTATTTCTGGGATGTCTGTCTATTGAAACCTGCCCCTTGAAGAATTTTGACACATCCAAAGTTACAGCAGATTAAAGACCAGTTTCTGCATCAGCACCACAGGATCAGGTGACACTTGCCTCACTAATGGAGAAAGAAGCTGTGCGGTAGCAAACAGTAAGAGCAGAGGACGTGTTCTGAACACTCACTTGTATTTGGCGAACTCGTCCTGCAGCAGAGCCACGTAGTTCGCCGGGATCAGTCCGGACCCCTGAGACCCGGTCAGCTTCTGGGCCAGCACGTACTCCCCCCGCTTCTCGATCACCGACAACTTGTCCCCCTCCTTCACCGTCAGCTCGTCGTCACTGCGGGCCTGGAAGTCGAAGAGCGCCGCGTAAAGCTGCACCGGCCGCCTCTTGGGCGACGGGACGCGGATTTCACCGGACACGGTTGGGATCTCCATCGCCGCCGGGTTGGCGATGACATGGTTGTTGTCGGAGACATATGGATAACGGGGATCGGGCCAAATGTAGTTCCAGAGGGGGCTTAAACACGGCATACAGCAGCGACAGCAACTCTCCATCCCGGGACACGAACGAGCGTGGCGGGGTTATTCCAGGTTTTACCGTAACACCGATCAATAAGACGCGCTTCAGGCTGAAAACGGCCGTTCACAGCCTACAGTCACCGGCCGTTCAGTCCTCCGTTTTCCCTCTGTTCCTCTGGCTGGACACATAATGCACCGCCAGCAAGAGTTGGGTAGATTAGCCGGAGGAACCGGTTTTTTCTCTCTCGTTGAGATCGTGGATTTGAGCTACACGCCTGCAGTGCGCACGGTGGCTGCGGGAATGCGGAAACGGGAATGGAGGGCTTCCAAGTCGGATCGGTTCCCTGCAAAGACCCCGCCGCGCGACTTAAGATGAGCCGAGAATGCGAGCATGACTCCCTGGAAAAACGTTAATCCATTGTGGTCGGGTGGGAAAGGCAGCAGTTGATGCTCAGGTGTTAATCCACTAAGGGAAAGAGAAACGTGAAGGTGAGGCAGCCGCACGGTGCGTAAAGTTTGGGTTTGGCGCTCCGCACACCACCTGCTGCTCACACACCTGCTTAGTGAAGGGGAGGAGGATGCTGATGGGTGTGTGTGTGAAGAAAGAGCGAGAGAGCGAGAGAGAGAGAGAGAGAGAGCGCGCGAGCGTGTGTGTATTTTTGGCTCCGGGACAGTTTCCGCTGTCAAACTAAATTTCCCTGAAGGTTATTTTGGTTGAGTGAACGATGAGTCTGTTTGCTAAACAGCCGTTTCCACCAGCAAACCTGTATGTCAAGATCTACTCAGCTGTTATATTTCTCGATTACATCATAAAAATCTTGAACTTGGTCTCTTCATGGGAGAAAAAAAAAATCACATGTGGTTTGTAAATTACTGGTTTGTCTGTTGTGGAGGTGGAAATTATTAATCAATAAATCAATTAGTGATTAGGAGATTCAGTGCTGTGTTTTATCTGATTGTAAATTCAACATATTTTGGACTGTTGATCAGACAAAACAAGCAATTTGAAAACAACATTTCTAACAGGCATAAAACTATTTTATTTGACATCTTTATTGCCTGAATGATTAATAAAGAAAATCACATCAATAAACTATGACACCAGAAAGTCTGAGGTGCTGTAGAGTCTATTTTAATCTCATCTTCCTCTGGGTTTTTATTTATAGACTGTGAAGTCTAATGACTGCAGCCTTTGTAGCGTTCCGCCCTTTGAGCCTTTATTCCTGCATTAGTTCTGCATCATTACTGCAGAAAAATACACAGGATACAAATAAATTACAGCACTTCACCACAAAGTCAGCCCTGAGATGAATATTTTTGATGATGCACCAGGAACACTTGTGAGGGTTTTCAACTTAAAGCTGTTGTTACACCTTCAGTGTAAGAAATGAAAAAAACTCCATCACAAGTCTCTAAATCATGAATGTTTTCTGCAGCAAGAATGATCATCATTCAGCATCTGTCAACAATCACCAGACTTTGATGGATTTCAGGTGATGATGCGGATTCAAATGATTTATTTAACATGAATATGCATTTCACTGCATGCTTTACTTAAGTAAAAGTACTAATACCACATTGTGAAAATACACCACTTCAAGTCAAGTGTATCCAAAACCTCACTTAATAATTAAAGTATATATGATCATCAACATGTATTACATTATGGAAAGTAGAAGTACTCATTATGCAGTAAAACTGTCCCAGTCAGAGTTTTACTATTACTACTGCTGCATTTATGTGTATGTTGCATTTTACTGATGTTGAAGGTTGAGTTCATTTAACTCTTTAATATCCTTTTTGATATGGTAGCAATGCATCGTATTCTATATGATCATCATATGTTTATGGCGTTGCTGTCCTTTGAGAACCAGCATCACCCTTACGTGGCCCTGTCGGGCAAACAACACTCAAACACTGACCCAAACCAATCACAGAAAAACACCTTTAAAACATCTAAAGACAGGCAATAAATCAAGAGTACCAAAAGCATTAAGCGAAAACACAAAAGCCCAGGCTAAAAGGCAGCAGAACCATTACAGTAGCAGTCTCCATTCCCGAAGCCTCCATTTTCTGATGCTGGCACAGGAGCTTTTAAGAGCCTCATTCCCCGGCCAGGTGCACCTCATTTAGCAATCACACACAGGGCAGAACTAGAGAGGGCTGAAGGGGAAAAGGGACAAACAGCACAGGGCAACACATACAGCCATTACACATGCTGTAAATCAACAGTCTGCAGGTGACTTCTTCCCTTGTTTAAAGGAGGGATTATGGGTGGAGTCTTTGGTTTGGTTGGACACACATGCTGGAAATGATGATGTTATTTCCTATGAATTGAGCCCATGATTTACAGCTGCCTGCAGAGATTATTTTACCAAGGATTGAATGTGAGGTTAACTCTGGTGTTATGTAGTTTTCTTACTGTCAAAATCCCATGAAGAGACCAAAACCAACATTGAATATTTATCTTAACAGGTAGCCTAATGTGTGTGTGTATCACAGTCTGATATATCTGTTTCCTCTGAGCCATAGAGCTCCATAGTTGTCCAGAACTATTTAAAACACATCTTAAAGGTAGCTCGATCACATACCGAGAGCCACAGCTGTCCTTGTGATAAGAGCATGAACGTTTTAAGACTAAAACGGGTTCAAATCCAACATGAAAGCTTTTCAGTTTGAGCTCTCTTAATCTTTCATTTGGAACCGGAGCTTTAAGTTTGTGAAAGGCTGCTACGTATTGACTCTGTGAGCTAGTTACATCAGAGAAGTCTAATGAACAACGTCTCAGTTTCAGTTCACAAAGTTAAAAGGCAAAAGAACACAATACTGCAGTAAAAGAGTGAAAAAGGAGGGAGGAATAAGAACGAGAAAGCTTTTAACTCTTGCCACTAAAACCCAGTTTGACAGTGAAGGAAGTATTATGTGCTATAAGTAAAAGTAACAATACAACAATGTTAAAAATACTTAACAAGTTAAGACCTGCATTTAAAATCATTAAGTATAAGTACAGTATTATCAGCAAATTGTACTTAAAGTATCAAAAGTAATGGTCACTGTCAGAGTTTCACTATCATATCGGATGTTTCTGGATTAATGTTGCTGCTGCATTTATGTGTACGTTGCGTTTTATCTCCTTTGTATCCTGTTGGGTAGTTTAATCTACAGCAATGCATCATGGTCTATATGATCATCATGATCATCAAACCTGTGACTAATACTGTATATTATAACTATTAGAATATTAACTCACAACCATCAAGTGTTAAAGCAGCATTTTACTGTTGTAGCTGCTCAAAGGTGGAACTACTTTTGTTTAGTCCAGTGGTTCTCAATTTAGGGGTCGGGCCCCTTTCAAAGAGTCACCAGATAAATCTGAGGGGTTGTGAGATGATTAATGGGAGAGGAAAGAAGGAAAACAAAGTTCTGATACACAAATCTGTGTTTCTATTTCAGACTTTTGTCTTAGCTTTGCTTTTTTTGTGAAATGTTAGATGCATTGAACCTCTTTGGACCTCAAACACTTTTAATTTAAATGAAACCATGTGAGAAGTTTAAATGGAAAATATCTCGTTGTTGGTGAAAATCATACACACTGCTGTTTTGTAACAGATCAAGTTCAAAGTCACTAGTTTACATGCAACTGTTTTAATCCATCAAGTTACGCTGGTTACATGTATGTATCTCTGTCACTCTGTTTGTGTGTGTATTTTCTTGTCTGCTTTGTACTGTATTGTATTTTATTTTAATTGTACTATTCTCCTTGTAATGCCTTAACTATGCTGTTCTCTTGGCCAGGTCTCCCTTGTAAAAGAGATTCTCTCTCACTGGGACTTGAAAATGAAAAGTAACTACAGCTGTAAAATAAATAAGTAGTACAATATTTCCCTCTGAAATGTAGTAGAGTAGAAGTAGAAAGTAACACTAAAAGAAAATACTCAAGCAGCAGTGACAGTGAGTGAAAATAAGAGAAAAACATTTCTCTGTATGATAGATAGCACACAGTTTTATTAGTATATTTAGCTTTGTGACGTACATCTTGGGAGAAAACAAAAAAACAAAACTAAATGGTCACAATTTTTTTTAAAGTCCAGAAACATTTCAGTTTTAGCAGTGACATCACACAAAAGAAAGCTCAGTTTTTCGATCATTGGTTTCTTTGTCATAGACCAGAGTGATATGTTCTCGTTGTTAGGCTAAACAAACACGCCCGTACCACTCCAACGTGGTCAACAAACAAACAAAAAAAAATAACCCTAGATTTCTTTTTTTTTCCTCGATCGTTTACGTTGCTTCACACATATTATCAACACTTTTCTAAAGAATCAAAATATTTAGCCACAGGTACTGGAAAAAAGGTATCCACTGTTATATATAATAATAAACACAATAAATATAAAAGAATTTTTGATATAATTTATATGGTATCAAAGAGAGAGGGAAATGGGCCTTCAGTTAGACGTGTTTTTACAAAAGTGATGTCCTTTTTTTTTTTTCTTCCTGAGGTTGAGTTTTGTCATCTGCAGTTTAAAGTTTTGCTAAATATACTAATAGACTAAGAGACCCGACACACAGGGTCTGTAATGGCTTTTCATTCACTGAGGAATCATCTCCACCGGATTCTGGTCACACCAGTGGAGGGGTCATTGTGGCCCCACTGTGATTCTGTGTGCTGTGGAGTTAGCCGAGAGGTCAAAGGTCAGCCCCCACTACAGGCAAACAAACACGCAGCTCGACCCCTCCCCCCACCCACCCCCAAAACAATCGGTTTCGTCCGGGGACGCCTCACTTTTCAATTTCAGCCATGTGACATTTCTTCACCATGCACAAAATAAATGTTTTCTCCACAGTGAACCGATAATCACAAACTAGCTGTTAGCATTGCTCAATGCAACGTACGTGCACCTTTGCACATCAAAGGCGAATGCTAACTGAATGCTAACAAGGCATTTTTAAAAGGGATGCAGTGCTAAAAAAAATAAAATAAATCTAAGCAGGTGTGTGGTGAAGAAAAGTGACAAACTGAAATTGTCAGCACGCCCCCTCATGTGATAGGCTTGTGTGTGAAAATGGTGATAATTGTATTTAGATGCAGTCCCATTTCCCTTCAGTGTGTAAGGAAGGAGTCAGATTAACTCACAACAGGGATGAGATGGGGAAAAAGAGAGTCGGGGGAGGGAGAAGGATAGAGAGATGAGAGGAAACAGAAAACAAAACAATAAAATAAAAAACCAGAAAGAATCGCAAAATATCTGTACATGTAAACATCACACTTCCACTGAGTCAAATCATGAGGAGAATACAGGTTTCACATTGGTATTACTGTAGGTACAAAGCCCCGGCGGAGGAAATCAAGACAATCAAAGGGCCCGGTACAAAGTCAGGTGAAGACAGAAAGAGAGGAGAAAAATCTAAAGCACCACCGAAAAGGAACAGAAATAAAAAACAGTAAGACAACACAGCTCAGGAAGCCATTTATTCACTCTGTCAGTAGCTGTACACTGATAGAAAAATAAAAAAGGTCCAGTACTTTTTCTCATTTAATTATTTTTTTAATATGTGTGTGTTGAGCTATACATCTGACCAGACTGGTTCAAGAAGTGTGTGATCAATCGCAGGGACCCGACCGGCATCACAGCTCATCTGATGGTTTCAGGTTTGAATCTAAAAGCTTCACTGAGGCAGTTTCTGATGCCTCTGATGGTTTTAAAGAGTCAAGATGACTAATTCCTGTACTCTCAGTCAGCGCTGCAGCTAACGCACACCTATCCTCTATTTGTGGAAATTTAAGGGTATTTAAAATGCTTATTTGCTTCCCTTGCGTTTAGGTCTTTTTGTATGTAATTACAGCCAGCAGCTTATCTTAGCTTAGCATAAAGACTGGAAATAGGGAAACAGCCGCTTTGTCCAATAATAACAAAATCTGCTAGTACATCTAAAGCTCACAGAAATGTGTTAATGTAAGAGCTTTGAGGTGCTGGTAGGCAGATTTTGTTACCTTTGGACAGAGCCAGGCAAGCTGTTTCCTCTGTTTCCAGTCTTTATGCTAAGCTAAGAGACATGAGAGTGGGTTCAATGTTTTAATCACAGTCAACATCTTTAAATCTGCAAGTTTAATTAAATTTAAATCAATCAAGGGTTAGGGTTTCACCAAAAGTATATTATAGGAAATGTAAATAACGGCATCATGTAGGGCAAATCAATTTAAGAAAATAAAACTAAGCTTTAAATAAATAAAGATAAAGGGGATAAATTATTATTTTTTTTTTACAGTGAGGTCAACATTTCTTGGGGGTTGCAGTCACTGCCCTCCACATAGTAGTTTGTGACAGAAAATATTCTCTTTTAACAAACTTGACGTCTTTGTGGTCAAAAATCCACAGAAAGTGTTTGATTTTGGAGGTAATTTTGAGTAAAAACAACTTGATTTCAAGGTAGTCAGACCTTTTTTTTCCTTTTTACTTATAGCACTAAATTATAATAAGAAATGTTTTATTTGCTCTGGTCTAGCAACCGTGTCTGTTCCTCTGTAAAGTCTGAGAGGTCAGCAAGACGCTGTGATCTTTTCTCAGAGCTCTTCCTCAAGCCTCAAAAGACTGAATCCTTTTTTAATTTATTTTTTTTACATTATATAAAAGCTGGATGATAATGTTGGCACCATGTCTGTGTCTATGGTGTGTAAACATAACCTTTAAAAAGAGAAGAGGACACACGTCTCGTGTATAAACCATAAGGGATTACACTCACAGAGGCGTGCAGTTACCGGACTGTAAAGGTCAACACGTAGCTTGAATTCCTCTTATCTTATCACAAGCCTGTTTGATTTTGAAGCTGTTAATGAAATGCTAAAAGATTCTGGTGACGCCGGTCAGGATCCCGGTGTTCGTTGACATCCATGTTTGGAATGTACAGTATAGGTTTCAGAGTGAAGCTGTTGGAATATTGTACAAAATATCTTTTCCCCAAAAAGACCCACTTTACTTGCACTACAAAATATATCTATAAAATAATATTAAGAAAGAATCAGAACATTGATAATAATAACAATAATAATAATGTAATACTAAAAAATAGAAATGAGACAAACGTGTCGGCCGCTTGCTCAGCCAGTGGAGACGTTAACAACAGGAGGAGTTTTGGAGTATGAGCGCTCTGATTACACTCTCCCAGTCGGTCCCACTGTATACAACAGACAGAAGGAATGGAAATCAAACAGTGAGCAAATTACACCTTTCTAAAGATTGTCATTTGCCTTTTTTATACAGCTGTTGGTGTTTTTATTTTTATTTTTTGTGGTGCTGTTCTGCAGCTGTCTGACTTTGATGTAAATTCACCTGGGCTCGGAAACACTTGCAGAAAACCTTGAGACTGTCTATTCTGAGGTTGACAGAGAACTTTAACACTTAGGAACCAATGAGATAAAAGTCCTAAATGCCAGCCACCTGGCTCTTCTGAGAAGACTACTTGATTATCACTTCAAATATTTTAAAATTTTGCTACAGCCTGACTAAGAATTATTTCCGTAGTTTTGGGACGATCTCAGTGGTCGTGTTTGGTAAGATGACTTATTCCAAGAAAGAAATCCCAGATGTTGTTTCAAAGAAGCAGTTTGTCTTGGAGGAGTTTTTAGCTGACAGAAAACTCATGAGGAGGAGGAGGAAGAGGGGGATGGACTGCAGTAAGAGGCCTCTTCACTGTTCCTAATATTCAAGCCAGGGGAAGCAAGTGAATAAAACTACTCTTTTCCACTGATCAGATCTCATTAGTGGAGCAAGTATGAGGAAATTCCCCAGCTTTTAGTCTAATTTTAGGCTCCAAGAAACACAGTCCACAATAAAGTCTCTCGACTTCAAGGGCTAAGCTGTGTTAAATGTTGCTGTTGCATTATTATAAATCTCTAGCTGTGGCACTAATCTTTTCTTTTTGTTGTGATCCTTCAATTTGATTCCTTCCTGAAGGCAGGAACTCATTATATACTGTAACTTATTATAAACTGTATGGTTGTTTTGGAGGGTCAAGGTTTTCAGAATGGCAGCAGCGGCGGCGGCGGCAAGGTTTGACAGTCAGAGGTGAAATAAACGTCCACCCTGTCTGCTTAGTTGAGAATGAATCCGTCTGAGTCAGGATCTTGGGATTAAAAACTGGAATCCACTCTGTCCTGCTTCAATCTGAGGAACCAGGATCACATCATCACCTGCTCTAACAGACACAGCACCCGCACTGCTGGCTGAGTTTTCAGAGGCTCACTCTGGGATACATTACTGTTTCAAAATGAGGAGGAAATTATGCATTTTTGTGCAGCTGTGTTCAGCAGGAAACCTCCATCTCAAAAATCTATATTAACTGGGTGTTTCGCTGTGTGTGACTCAGGTCCCTCAGACAGGGCAGAGTGTGGATCAGCAAAAATAAAAAAAACAACTTAAATAGTTCTTTCTTGGATCGAGTAAGTCTGGGGCAAGAAAGGTGCCGAATGTCCCCGACAATCAAAACCAGGCGGACTCAACCAAAACACTGGCAGCATCTGAGAGCACAGTGAGGATCAAACAGGAGGGCAGAAGGACGGGATGCTGGTGTCATCAACAGAGTCTCATGTTGGTATAAAGGCAATTAATACACTCTAAGAAAGTGAAGTTTAATCTGCCCTCCAGTATTTAATAGAAATATTAATAAAGACACTAAAATAGAGAGAAATTTGAGGAAAAATTGATTGTACTAAATTTAATCGTAGTGAAAACACCACGAGCACACAGGGTTGTCCCCCAACATGTCTCACTCTTATAATGTCATCCTCCCTTCCTTCTCTCCTCCTTTTCTTCTACTTGGGTAACTTTTTTTTTTTTTTTGCATAATTCTTTCGTGTCATTCAGCGATCAGCACACATTAAACAGAGCTTCCCGTTTCGTGAAAAAGAACAAAAACAACAACAAAAAAGTTTACTATTCTACATCTAATCTACCATAAATTAAATAATTTACATTTTCAACATTTCAAACTAATTGGAACATGAATGAGCGGTGGTTCTGACATTGCACACAAATGTAAATCGGTGAAAGTCTGGATGGAGATTTTTGTATTAATGGATACGAGGTGGGAATGGCGTCCACACCTCTTGAAGGAATGGCTTTCACGTGTCCCTCTGCTTTTTAGCCCGATAGCACTTGTCATCCAGTGAGTATGATACAAATTTCACCATCTGGCCGTCATGTTTGCAGCCAGTCACCAACATAGACCAGTGGATGCCATGATTATCAACTGCATTGCAAAAAACACCCCACCACATCACTTCCTCCGCTCTCGTGTAACTTCAGCAGTGCAAGTTGGGGGAGGGGGGGTCCTCTCATGGGAAACATGCACACACACAGAGAGCCTCCAAATCACAGATGACTGTTGCTTCGCTCAGTGTGCAAAAAGGGAGCAAATCACGGTGCCAAAACAGTTGAACTGAACAGAAACGACAGTAGAAGCACAGTACACAGAGCAATGCCTTGAGAGGAGATAATAAGTCACGTTTGTCTTTTTGTTCATTTTCTAACCTCTTCTGTACTACGGTGAAATAATCCAGGAATAATGTGCTTCAAAAAATGCTGATTTAACAAACTAATCCCAGCAATAAACAACTCCAAGACTTTTTTAAGCAACTGTACAATGAGACAAAACTAAGTAGTGGTGATAAAAAGAAAAAGTACCAGTGTCGCAACAACATAAAGAAATAGTTTGACACTTTGAGAAATACACTTCTTTGTTTTCTTGCACAGAGGTTGTTGAGAAGGAATCTCACTTTCATGTCTGTACAGTAAAGATAATGCTGGAGCCAGGTAACTTATCTTAGCATAAAGTCTGGAACCAGAGGGAAACAGCTAGCCTAGCTCTGTCCACAGGTAGAAAAAAAAATCAAGTCATGGTTTTACTGGGGTTATGTGCTATGTGTGACTATTTCTTGACAGGGAGCCGTAACTTCCTGGAGTCTTCAGTGATAAACAGATTTTAAATTTTTGGGGGGAGGGCCAGGCTTTCCTTCTGTTTCCAGTCTTTATGCTAAGCTATTCTAACCAGCTTCTAGCTTTATATGGAACGTACAGAAAGCGTATTTCCCAAAATGTCTTTAACAAAGAGGCTGTGGCTTGGCTCTGGATAAGACAACAGGTACACCAGAGGTATCCAGTAAAGTATATATTTGCTGTGCATGAGAACAAAAACTACCGTCATATGGTATAATATAAGAATATAAGATGGAGGATATACTTTTTTTTAAAAATAGGTTTTCCTTTAGAGCCATCTCTTTTCTTTCCATCCTCTCTATTCTCTAAGGTGTGTACTTGTTGGCCTGATATAGACTTACTGTGGTGAAGCTGCAAGACTTAACTAACACGTCCCTCCCTGCGCCCTCCAGAGGATGAAAAAATGGGAAGAAATGAAAAGAAACGAGATTAAAAGCATTCACAGTTAGAAAGTCACAAAACACAACATGAATCAAGCCCTATGAAGCAAAAAACAAAGACACCAACCAACCAGCCAGAGAGAGAAGAGACACATGAGTGGATGAAGGTAGGAGGGTTTGCACTAAGTTCTCCTGTGGGTCTCCGGATTGTTTTTGCTTTGTTGTGGTCGAGTTGCAGTCGAGGTTGCCGGAGGTTGGTTGGTCGGTCAGGTTTTCACGGGGCACAGCGGCTAGCGAACGCCCCGGCTTTGTTGAGGTTTCAGGTCTATGGCAGAAGGTCCGGTTTTTATATAGCAGCAGCAACATGAATGTTCATCATTATAATCATAGTAATAATAATAACAACAATAATAATGGCCATATCAGAGTTTAACAGACAAACACAGTAAGACAGAGCAGTCCTCCTCTTCCTCTGAAACCTGGACCGGACCAGGGAGGGAAGGAGGAAGAGGAGGATATTTAGGTCCACGAAGAAGAGGTGGAGAGTAGGTCCAATGGGGAGACAAAGAAGTAGAAGAATAAGAGAGGGACGGAGGGAGGGAAGGAGGGGAGGGTTGTTAAACAAAACGATGCTGAGGTTTCGTTGGCGTTTGTAAAAAGTCGAAGCGGGAGGTAAAATTCCACCAGTGATCAATATTTAACCCCGTTTTCCTTTTAAGAAAACCACTCCCCTCCGCGCACACACACACACACACACACACACTCACCCTCCCTCCCCTTTCAGGAGAAAGTCCGACACTCAGGTCAACTTCAAACTTCAAAACTGATTCTTCTCAAGTTTTCAAGATGAACTGATTATATACAGCAGCACACACATGAACCTGCACACATGAAAGAAAAGTTTACATCATCAGTTCTTGAAATGCTTCATCGTTTCGACATTACAGGTCTTTTACGCAATATAGTTTTGATTTTCCTCTCTCCAAAATAAACCTTTGAAGACATCAGGTGGTAAAACAGAAGTAAACTGGCTTCTGGTTGGAATGATACCATTCACTTGCAGAGTGTGTGTTTGTATATGTGTGTGTCTGTGAACTGAAAATAGAATTGGCAGGTCTGATCTGAGGTATTTCCTGGTGGTCAACATGGCGTCTTGGATGCATAAGTAGCAAGTTGCTCCCTGGGTAAAAGGGGTGAGGAGGATGGGGGGTGGGGGGTGTCAGGGTGAGGTTTCAGGTTAGGGAAAAGTGCTATAGGACACAGAGAGCTTATATACAAGCGAGCACAAAAAAAGTTTCTCTCTTTTTTTTAAACCAAAGTTTTCTCTTTTTCTTTTCCAGTTTCCAGCCTTTAGCCCCTCCGGACTCAAAGTCTTTCCCGTATTTAGTGCTATCTTTTAAGATAATTCAAACCGCTTTATCAGTCACTTGGGAGGAATTTTAAAAGAAAAAAAAAAAAAAAAGACAAAAAAATACGCACTGGACTCCCAAAAAAGGAGCTAATTAAATCTTAAATCAAATCAAAAGCACTTGTCATTTAACAGTTTCAGTAGTACTTATTCAGGGAGTCATCATTTATTTATTTTTTTAAAGTGTTATGATCATAACACGGCGTTGGGCAATCCAAACTCCCCATGTTCATAAACTTCACCTTCACAAGTCTTTTTTTTCTGAAACCACAGCAGCAGAATCAACAACTCTTGCAGTCTTCTTCACTCTTCTTCCAGGCTACTCTGCTCCCCTTTTCTCCCTCTCCTCTCTTCCTGTCCTCCACACTCCTTCGCTCAGAGTGCAGTGCTGATTGTGAAGTGCTTCCAGAGAGGAGAGGAAGAGATTCCTCCAGAGTCCAAATAATTAGCTCCTTTTTGGGGGGATGGTGGGGTGGGATTAGTATCCCTCGCCTGCTGTCCTAGTTTCCCACTTTTTCTCCAAAAACAAAAAGTGGCCAAAGTTTCCGAAGAGAAGGCAGATGAGGAGAAACCAACAAACCCCCGATTTAAGGAGGGAAGACCAAAAACAAAAGGTCTGGTGTTTAACGATCGATAAGGAGAAACAGGTGACGCAGACGGACAAACAAAAACAAACATAATGGGAAATGTGTGTGCGCGTGTTCTTCCCCAAAATCAGTTCTGCTGCAGGATGAGGTTCTCCAACTCGTCTGCCGAGCGAAGCAGGAAGGCGGCCGACTCCCGGTAGCCGGCTATCAGCTGACGCACGGCCGTGATCTCCGGTTGGCTGAGCTGGGTCGAAGCCCCGCCCCCTCCTGCACCCCCGCTGCCCCGCCCACCCAGGCTGTTGTTGGTGGAGGCAGAAGAGGAGGAGTTACTGATGTTGGCAGAGGAGAGAGATTTCATGCTGAGGTCTGTGGGGCCTGAAGATGGGTGGAGAAGAGGGAGAAAAAGTGAGGGGGGAGAAATACAGATGGGAGAGAAGGATTGATGAAAAAAATGGAGGGAGAGAGGAAGGGATTAGGTGGAGATTGATACAAAGAACAGACGCGCTCCAGGTGTGCAGGTGAGAAAGGATACACATAAGAAAAGGTGAATGAAGAGGAGAGGTGCAATAGGGAGAGGAGGGTGAGAGACAGAATGATCAGAGTGACAGAAGACTGCCAGAAAATCATGAAATTTCTTCTAACGTACACTTTGACTTTGCATTTGTTTAACATTTTATCACCTGTAGCAACCTCTAATCCATGTCCAGTTCCCAGGTAACAAGAGCAATGCACTTTGTAGGCTTCATCAACAGCAAGCTAAAACACTTTAAAACACTTTTACAGTTGTGTGTTAATGGGATAATGGCATCACGTCGGATCCTGTGCATGTAGCCGCTGCAGCTGACGTGCACCTCCCCAGAAATACAACTACTACTACTACAACTACTATGTTGCGGGTGACAGAGACTTCACATGGAGACCACAAGAACTGTGATTCGGTCAACTTGTGTTTTCTCCGACAACTTTCTGACGCGGACGCTTCGAGCTACGCAAGATCAATTTCTTGCATTGTCACATTCTGGAGTGTGTCACCTGAGCTGCAGTCTGAGTGTTGCAGCTAGGAGCGCTGTTACAGATAAAACAACAGGAGAAAACGGTTCCCTTCTGTTTGAGTTGAATTTATATTTTCATTATTGTGCAAATAAAACTAAACTAAACTGAGTTCACTTCGGCTCAAAACAACTATGAATGACGAGTTGAACGAAGATCTAGCTAAACATGTTTGTATACCAAAAGTATGTGGACACACCTTTCCACATACTTTTGGTTGGGCCTGTTTTTTCTTGGTGTTGTCTTTGTTAAAGGAAATCTTTTTGCTACAAAATACATTTTCAGACAATTCAAACATTTTGTGTTTGACCTTCTCCTGTTTTAATATGACAATGCCCACGTGCACTAAGCCAGCAAAGCCAGGAAGAACTTGCCCTGACCTCAACCCTACTGAAACTAGAAATGGACATTGCAAGCCAGGCCCTCTCATCCAACATCAGTGTCTGACCTCACAAATGCTCTCTCTCTGGAATCTCTGGATGAACGGTCAAAAATTCCCCCAGACAAACTCCAACATTTTGTAAAAAGCCTTCCCGGAAGAGTGGAAGCTGTTATAGCTGAAAAGGGGGATCCAACTCCATATTAATGGCTATGAATTTATACTTAGATCTCATAAAAATAATATGTAGATGCACAAAGGGGAATACATTTAATGCACAATCCTGCCTGATCACGTACGGTACATCTGTGTGGTTGTGCTATCAACGGTTCTGACCTTTACTCCTTTACTGTAAGTATTTACTTGGACATTGAAGTTCATCTTTAGCATCAAGTATAAATCCAGGACACTATCTACCGACCTGCAGGATTCTACTCTCTGTTGCTTCATAACCTTCACCTTGAAGTTGTAATCGTTTTTTAACGAGTAATTTAACATCTCCTGGAAATCTTGTTTTTGCTGACCTCCAGTGATTTAACCTTTCACCCTGCTGCAGTAAAGTACAGGTGTTCTCCAGGAGCCATTAATATCACTGTTGGTTGTAATTACAGGTGCAACAAAGCAAATTTCTTACCACACCCATCAGTGAAACTGGGTGTGATCAGAAGTGAAACAGACTTCCAACTTTCAACCAGAGAGGACATGGAAACATTGCTTTGCAGCCTCGTGTAACTCTTTAATTGAGAATTTATTGCAACAAGATCTTAAAACTGATCAATGAAACGTCAATCAAACGTTTTACCCTGAGAATACATGTAAGTTATCTATGACAAATAATCAACATTATTTAGACCTTGTTTTGTACAAGGTAAGTTTGAGGAGTATGGACGCTGTTCTGCGCGATCGCCCTGCTCCAAACTCACACCACCATCTTGCTATCAAAACTATGATTTTGTATTGAAACAGTCACGGAAACTGATGGACACAGAGTCATTGAAGAGACAAGTGAACATCTGTAAAAGTTATCAGAGTTTGAACAGCCTGTAATAATCGCACGCTGTTTTTTTTTTTGCAACTTTAAATCTACAGCTCCACATTTAAGTGAGGCTCCCATCTGCTGCTCCTTCTCCATCTCCTCCTCATTCATCCCCAAATTACCCACTCATTCCGACCTATTCATCACTCGCTCTCTTGCCTCATTTCTCTCTCCATCCTGACTGCCCGCTTCCTCTCTTATTCGCTCATCTTTTTAACTACTTTGTCTTGTCCATCTCCCCTCTATCTCTATAAAAGGACCCCCTTCCTCTGCTCTCCCCTCCTCACCGTTGCTCTGAGCAGCAGCGCCGGTTGTCAGCGAAACAGGGTGTTGCATGGCAGCGCTCAGGCCCGGATATCCACGATAACCGTAGCTGAGGCCGGCTCCGTTGATGTAGAGCTGGGTGTCCTGCGAGGAGAAGGCTGATGCGGCCAGGGAGTAAGCGGAGTGAGCGAGGGACGCCGGCTCCCTCAGGCCCCCTCCACCGCCGGACGGCTTGTCCACAGAGATCTGCTCATCCTGGAGGAGGAAACAGGAAAAACAAACAGATTTTGTTTTTAAAATACTATACTGCAAAGCTGGGTGGACAAGAAAAGCAATTGGCACTAAGAACCTAGAGTTATGCCCACGAAGAAGAATATCATTGCTGATATACTTCAAAATTAGGACATTATTTACCAAAAAGAGCATCTCTGATTCCTCAGTCAGAAGTTTTCTGTTTCTCTGAAGAGGATTCTTTATTTTACACAGTAAAAATCTCAATGAGATTTATATTGTTGTTTTCAAAAGAGACCTTCTAAGAATATGTTTGCAGTTTTTCAAACTACTTTGAACAGCATCTATGTAATTTAGTACTGCCTGCTCTGGAAAAACAAACCCTTTTTCTGTTTTGTTGCATAAAGAAATACAGATGTGTCTCGAAAGCTCCGCAGGTGGCTGCCAAACTAGCTCAGTAGCTGGATAACATAGATACCTCAGTATGGCTGGATTGTGTTTACAGTTAGTAACATAGTACGTCCTCAAACAACCTACTGCAACCTACAACAACTTACTGATGGCAAAACCAATCTCAGTCCCGGCTGTTCTCGGCTGTAACACCACGATGGTGGAACAAGCTATCACATGCCATCAGAGCAGGGACGTCCCTCTCTAACTTCAAGAAGCTCTTGAAAACTAACCCTAACCTCTAACAAGCACATCCTGTGCTCTTCCTCTTCTATCCCCTTGCAATTCTCTTGTATTGATTGAACTAGTTTGTTAACTCTTACTTCTTTCCCTAGTTGTTTGTTGTTCCTCAAATGTAAGTCGTTTGGATAAAAGCATCTGCCAAATGAGAAAATGTAAATATAAATGTAAATGATGGTTAACTCAGTCAACCCAGGTCTGCAGGCAGGTAACAAGACAGATCTTCCTTTCTGTATTTCAGTGATTCAAAATCCACAGCTCTGTACTGAATAGGCCAGAAACCATTTGACACAAGGCAGCCTGCTCAGTGTTCATGTACATTAATTAGTCAAACACAAAATATCATATATATATATATATATATATATATATATATATATATATATATATATGTTCTAGATTCACATATAAATGAGGCTAAGCACACACAAACATAGTCTTACGTGATAGGTTTCAAGGCGCATCCTCTTAGCGGCGTTGCGTGATTCGCTCTCGCAGGCGGCCGCCAGGATGTTCTCAGCCATAGCTGAGGTGAGGTGAGGTGGAGTAGGACGGGTCTGCAGACAACAGAAGCATTTTATGGAATTAAATGATTTAATTTAGGGCTGACCCCGAATAGTCGAAGATTTGATGGATGAGTGGAGCCTGATTCTACAGTCAATCTCACAGTCGAAGCAGCGATACAAGGATCATGCCATTTTTGGCGATATGCGGGTGCTCAATAATAATACATTTTATTTGTAATGCACTTTATATTTAAGCAAGTGCTACATGTTAAAACAGGTAAGTGCTAAAAATAAAAATACATAGAGAGTATGACAAATAAAAACAGAAACAATACGGCAGAGGAAAATGGCAAGAGTTCAATCAAAAGCTCTCCTAAAAAGGTGGGTTTTCAGGCCACATTTAAAAGCATCCACACTCTCTGGTGTCCTCAGGTAGTCGGAGAGCTTTCCACATACTGGGAGCAGCTGAGCAGAAAGGCCGATCTCCCATTGTACAGAGTTTGGTTCTGGGAGGTTTCAGGAGATACGCTGAGGCAGATCGGAGGGCACGTGTGGAGGTCTGTGGGGTGAGGAGTTCCTTGAGGTAGGAGGGGGCTTCACCATAGGTGCACTGGTGGGTAAAGAGAGAGACCTTGTACTCAATCCTGAGTGAGACAGGAAGCCAGTGGAGTGATCTGAGGATGGGGGAGATGTGGTCGTGTTTGCGCACCTTTAGCAGGATCCTAGCAGCGCTGTTCTGGATGTACTACAGCTTCTGAAGGCTTTTCTCAGGCATCCCGGTGAGGAGCACATTGGAGTAGTCCAGCCTGGAGGAGACAAAAGCGTGGACAAGCTTTTCCGCATCTGCAGGAGTGAGTGTGGGACAGAGTTTGCCGATGTTCCTGAGGTGGAAGAAGGAGGTCGAGATGTTTGATGTGAGCCTCAAAGGTAAGCTGAGAGTCCATTTATGTTAAAAGTGGAATTTCGGCCAGAGAAGGTGATGCTGGTAATGTCAGATGACCGAACCTGGTGTGGAGCGCCAACTAAGATGGCTTCAGTCTTGGAGCTGTTTAGCTGCAGAAAGTTTTGCTTCATCCACGACCTTTATCTCCTCCACGCAGGTGGTCAGAGTGGATGATGGCAGGACAGCAGAGGGGGTTGGGTTTGTCCTGAGGTAGAGTTGAGTGTCATCAGCATAGCAGTGAAATGAAATTCCATGCCGGCTGATGACATGGCCAAGGGGGAGCATGTTGAGGATAAGCAGGGTGGGGCCGAGTACTGAGCCTTGAGGGACATCACAGGTGACGACGTGTGTCAGGGATTTAGCCTCTCTCAAGGCGACATGCTCAGTTCTCCCGGTGAGGTAGAATGAGAACCACTCATAGACAGAGTCAGAAAGACCGATAGTGGAATGTAGATGATGAAGGAGGATGTTGTGGTCCACAGTGTCGAATGCTGCTGTCAAGTCCAGGAGGATGAGAAGAGATGGGGAGCCAGAGTCTGCAGTCATCAATCAGCAGGTCATTTGTGACCCTGACCAGGGCTGTTTCTGCGCTGCGGCCAGGGCGCAGGACCATTTGTTTTAGATGGTCCTGAAGCTGTGCGGCAACTACTTTTTCCAGCACCTTGGAAAGTAATGGAAGGTTGGAGATGGGCCTGTAGTTGGCAAAGACTGCTGGGTCTAGGGTGGGTTTTTTGAGAAGTGGCCTGATGACAGCAGTTTTCAGTGTTGATGGAACATGGCCAGCCTGGAGGGAGTGGTTTATGACCTTCATGATGAGTTTTCTCCCAATATGTTAATATTTGCAATATACATTTCAAGGTTTAATGCTGTAAATAAACAAGTGCGTAAATAAATCCAAAATTGTAACCCTAACCCTGGGTCGTCAGTGCGCATGTGTAGGTGTAGCTTGAGTATGTGGTGGCAGAAGAGGAACACTTGCTGAAGAGACAGAGCCACAGCTTCACTGGTGTTGCGCCGAGCTGTCCGCACCTCACGAGGCTTTCAGATAATTTATCACCACTGATGAACCACACAAAGCTTATTATATCCTTTTCAAACAGCCGGCTACTTGAAATAAGACCCGCGAGGAACCGTGACGTGCATGCAGTTGTCGGCAGCGATAAACTCTGCACAAGACCAGTGAATGGCAGGCGAGAGAGAGAGAGAGAGAGAAAAGGGTCAGCAATAAGTGTCAGTCTAGCTGGAAATTTACAGTGCAAGTTGAATGAATAGAGACTGCAGCTCTGCAGCTTCTCAAGATTAAAGTAGAGCCACCGTGTGTTACACCCCCTCCTTCGCAATCGCGGTGCACAAAAACACACATGATTCGACTATCAGTCAACTATAGGCAGGACTTCTGATTTGACTATGTAAATCCTTAGTCGGGGACGGCCCTAATTATACTAGACCTGAACAAGTTATGAGACCCTCACCTGTTAACTTGATTTTACTACACACATTTCCACAATTTTTTTATGTATGCGAAGAAAATTACAAGAAGAAAAGAACTGAAGAAACATCTGTCTTCATTTGTTTTAATTATTAACAGTAAAAAAGGTTTACTTTCAGTCCTCTGTCATCTGAAATGATAATCCCTTTAAGCTTCACTGATACTTTGCAAATTCTGTAGATAATCAGAGAGCTAGATTTCTTCTATTTTTAACTCTTACGTGTTTATGCTTTAGTATTCTATAATATCCCAGAGGCCATCCTTTACAATGATAGTGTAACATCATGCTTCACCACTGGAGGGCAGCAGAGACATTTCAATGATGGGCTCATCTTTACCTTCAGTGTGAAGCAGCCTGTTGCCTGTCCACAGAATATCTCTGTGTTAAGTCCCAGCAGAAGTCACTCGTTCCCACCTTACATCCTGCATTAGTCCATTAACATCCACCCACCCTGCCTCTGCTCTGTGTTACTGCTATAGCTGAATCCAAAGTTATATGGTATTTAGGGTATAAAGGGGTAGGAGTACATACGTTTTACTTCTTCCTACTCCTTTTTGCACATGTAAATAGCAGTGCTTAAGTAATGGAAGTTATGGAGTTTTGTTTTGTTGTTCATCTGTTTTACTACTATCATGTTCACACTCAACTAATGCAATTGATTTATTAAAATGTTTGGTAAGACTTGCGTCTTGACTTTGGTCACTGGTACAGAATATACTAGCTTATACAGCATGTCTCTTTGGAAGTTTCTCAGTGAGGAACAGTCAAAGCAATTCTGACCGTGCTGACAGCATGAGGGTCTTTGTTAAAGCCTTTCATTATTTTTTAATTACAAGTAAAGATTGCAGTGTATTAATTATCTGTGTCACTGCACACACCCTGCTGGTTCGTGCTGATATCGTATTATCAGATGCACATGAAGAAATGTTGCATTAGTTCTTATATTAAGATATAAGATATGTATATTACATAATGATATGTATAAATATGACACTATTGTGAATTTTAGATGTTGAAAACAACAATTAGAGAGCATGCACAAGACTAAACATGTTATTTTACCTTTTATTCTGCATCTCAATAAAATGCAGATAGACAGTCATGATGATTATTGGAAAATATCTAAATCTAAGAACATTTGAACTTTGTAAGGACACATTGTAAAACTGAGTCAAATTTTATAAAATACACAGCATTGTTGTTTTGTTTTTTATACAATGGTGCATGCTGGCCTTAACCATACCGTCCATATTCCCAAACAATCCAGAGATAGTGTGTTAGTGTTTTGACCTGGCTTTATCAGTCATTGTCAGTCTTTTAAAAATCCTCCAAATTCCTGTAATCTCTTTATTCCCTCCGATTCTTTGTTTAGTGTTCTCCTTCCTTTCTATTTTAAAGTGAGGCAGTTAAGCAAGTATAAACAGTACAGAACATTTTACTGACTAGAGCACATGTACTAACTGAAAGGCTGTGTTCACATGTGTACGTACAAAGACACTGTACACACTGCAAGAATAAAAACAATCAGGTAACAAGAAAGGATGTCTTTGTAGCTCTCCAGTTCCCAGAGAAGTTGACTGAATGACAAAAGAAGCAAGGCCAGCAGTGCATTGTGAGAATTATTGGCTTTGAACATGCGGCTGATCGACCTGGGTCAAACAACCCATAGTATATAGAGTGTCTAATAGAACAGAGCACAGAAGGATTGTTGGCTGAACCAAAGACTCGCACTGCCTCACCAAGCGGTGGTCACATCATTTGTTCCAGTAACACAACACAAACAAAATCAAGATTAAAATTGGCTCCCATGTGAAAAAAGCTGGTGTGGGATTTAGATTTTACTTCGATTTAGTAACATCACTTTAAGAACATTTTCTGTATGTGTAGTATCTCCTTCAGATAGAGAGACTGCCACTGCTAAAACATCTACAGAGTGAAAGGGGAATTATACGGCTGTCAGCCTAAAAGCCTTCTGAGAGCATGTATCAGGTCTGTGCAGCTCAGAGTGAAACTATTTAATTTTTTAAAACTGTCTGAGGCTGCATGAAAGTCATATTAAAAAAAACACACAAAAAAACAGACCCCTAGTTACTGCTTAGAAATGTTGTCGTTTAAATAACTACAGCCTACTGTAACAAATAATGATACTATTACTGATATTATTACTAATATTTACATTATTACTATTTAAAAAAATAAAAACTACAACACAGTCAGATCTCCGCTAAGGATGCACATGTCTTTCAAATGTGTTGCTTTAATATTGAGCTAAAATGATTAGTCGATTGACAAAAAAATGAATGGTAAATATTTTGATGATTGGTTAATTCATCCATTCTCTGGTTCCAGCTTCTCCAGTGTGAGGATGTGTTAATTTCTGGGATATTATAATGGGGGTTTTCTGCTATAATTTCACATTTCATGGAAAAAAGTATTAATGGAGAAAATAATGGCCAATTGATAATGAAAATAATCGTTAGTTGCAGACATTTGTTAATAACAGAAAATTGGTTAAAACACCCGGCTACCAGACAAACAAACAGCAAAACGTCTTTGTACCTCCATGCCGTTCTTCTTCATGCGTCGGCAGGATTTGAGGTAGGTGCGGATGCGCTTGCGGGCGCGTTCCTGGAATTCTGGGAACTGTCTGCTGCAGGACTCGATGATCGCCTGGATCTTCTCCTTGGGCTGTTTGGAGATAGGCACCATCCGATCCAAGTTCTCGTCCACAAACAGACGCACAAACATCTGCAGGAAAACAACACAGCTGTTTTGATGGGTAAATCAAAGGTTTTTATGGTCTTGTGTGTGTAGCATTATATACCTTGCTTCTCTTCTGAAGTGTGTGTATGTGTGTGTTAAAGCTGGATTAATTGTTTTTGAACCCCTGACAGTTGTTAAGCTGGACGTGTTAGCCAACAGCTGCTTATTTACACATCCGCAGAAACACCAGCATTTATTTGGAGCTGTGTTTCTGTCCTCCTGATGAATGTTAAGTGCAGTATAAACTCCCTATTTAGCTCTGGTTTGGCCTCTTGAGAAAAATATCTGACTTTGTAGCTGCTAGATGTTCCACTTTCCGAACCAGCTTGTTAGTAAATTTGTCAGTCTGCCATTATCAGAGCTTGTTAGCTGTTTGCTGCTGCTGGACTGGACTCCATTGAGAAAAACAGTAATTTTACCACGCCGATTCAGCTGGTAGCCGCTAAATGGGCTGCAACGTAATCCTTCGGGACACATGCGGCTGTCATAGTAGCATACGTCTACTAAAAGGGCAACCTGACAACATTATGGGAAGGATCACTATAGTGATAGACCTTTATGTTTAAACAGAAACAGCCGTTATATCGCTCTTTCTCGCCACCAGACAATAATCTTACCTCTCCAATCAAAATTCAACACATTGGACAGAAACTAAATAAAACTCATTAAAATTGTCCTTGCTAGTTATTCCACTGTTTCAACAATCACCAGCTCTGGTTTGGTTGAAATAAACCCCTATTTCGCAGCATAAGATGAGAAAAGAAACAGCTGTTAAATCGCTATCCTCAAAGCCAACAGTTGCACAGTATGGACTCGCATGAAACAGTTACCAGAACAGAGAAGCTCGGATGACAACACATACAGAGTATCTTGAGCTGGTGGCTTCAGAAGTTCGGCAAACACAATGTCTGAAAAACAACGAGCAGCAATGAAACAACCACCCATCCCTCCTTGCCATGGTGCTCGTATCGACGGGTGGCAAACAGTGGAGAATCATTTCTGAGGGGGGACAGTGCTGTACTACCTGCCTCAACTGCTGTAATAAGAGGAGCTTTATTGTATGTCCCGTGTGTCTTTTTCCATGTGTGTTTTGAGGGTCTGTGCCATCAAGTATGTGTGTGATCAATGACACTGACAGGCTTTAAAGGAGGAACAGACAGTCAGCTCTTCAATATTTTTTCTTTATGAATATACCGAGACACCTTATTGATCCCCGTGGGGACATCGTGTGAGACACAGTTGAAGGTCTCTGACTTACATTGAAGGCCTTTAGTCTCTCGGGATCGACTCCCTCCGTGTCGTTGATCTTGTCGTTGTCGTCGTGGTCGTCATGGTCATCATCGTCATCGTCTGGCGCGACCTGGCTGCCATGACGCCCCATGGTCAGGTCCTCTGCACTCAAGTCCATCTTCACACTGTCATAGCTGCCACCCGAACTGTACTGAGGGGACTGAGCACACACATGCATTAGTGCTTCTGTATTTGTCTTGAGTCTCTCAATTAAGTCTATAAATCTATGCACTGTCGGTGTGTTTTTACCATTTATGGGCTTAAGTGGTTAATTGTTCCGGGGCCCTTAAAAAAAACACTAATTAGGAGTTTCATTAGGATCTGACAGCTTGCCAATAAGAAGGTCCTTAAATACAAAGATTTAGGTATTTGGTGGAGACACTCGCCAGACATCATGGAGGCAACTATCAGCCCACTCTAAAGAATAAATTATCATCTCAAAAACAGAATAATAAACATAAGTAAATAATTTTATACTTCTTCAAGCACTGTAGCTTTCACTACCAAAACATTTTCTAATCCAACAGTGCAAAGAGGATTTTGGGAAACGGGGGGGTTTGGGGCATCAGAACTTGGTAATAGGGTTTGCTGTCATGGTGCTCCATCTTCCTCTGCTTAAGACTTCCTCTTTCTTTATCTCCTGCAGCTGTATATAGGTTTCAGAGTAATTTGTGTTTACTAATTACCTCTTGTTGTTTCAGACTCTTTATCGCCTCTCCTGCTCACTTGTAGTCGCCCTCTTTGAGTTTCTTGATCATGTTTTAATTCACCTGCCTACTCATCTGCATCTCGCCTCACTTTTGCCTCCATCTTCTTATTTTCTAATCCCATTTGCCGACTCCTCTTTACAAATGACTGTGTACTCCTTTTCATGTTTCAACAAAGACAACCTAATTAGGATGAGGCAATTAGCTGAATCAAAAGGAGATTTTATGTTTACTCTGATAGATCATTTCAGTTTTCTCACAGTTCAGTCACTCTCAGCAGAGTGAGTGCAGTGAACAGCAGGAAGGACAGAAAGCAGAGGAGAAGCTTTGCTAATGCAAGTCACAATGATATCCAAAATAACTTGTTCCCTTTTGGTAGCTGTGTTTTTAAATAGGGTTTTTCGCTCTCTTGCTGAGAGTTAGAGAACATTGATACTACTGTAATGTTTGTATGGCAAAAATGAAGCTACAGCCAGGAGGTGATTAGCTTAGCTTAGCTTAGCGTAAAGACTGGAAACGGCTAGCCTGGCTCTGCCTACCAGCACCTCTAAAGTTCACAAATTAAAACACTATCTCATGTTTAATCTGTACATAAACTGGCTGAAAATGTGTTTAATTATTTCTTGCCCAGGACCAAGAAATAGTTCTACACATGACCTTCCATTAAACTTGTTTACACTTTTTTTTGTACGTATTAAACACACGAGATCTAACATGTCCATTTGTGAACTTTAGAGGTGCTGGTAGGCAGACTTTGTTACCTGTGGACAAAGACAGGCTAGCTGTTTCAACCTGTTTCCAGTCTTTACGCTAAGCTAAGCTAAGCTAAGCTACCTGGCTGCTGACGGCAGCCTCATACTTATAGAGGTAAAGACATGAGTGGTATCAGCCGGATGCTGATTTCTCAAGTCTGCGATTGTTTCCTCTCTGATAGTCTAAAGACATTTAGATTAGGTTAAATAGAAACTCAATTGTCTGTAGGAGTGAATTCTGTCTGTATATGAATGACTCCAGTCCCCGACCAGGATGAGCAGGTGTAGATGATTCATTAATTTACCAACCAGCCTGAATTAGGTGAAGCCTTGAGTGGAACCGGATCCGGTGATTTCAGATTAACTCCTTCCTTATAAAATCTCATTGTAAACAAACATGCATGTGTGAGAGTGTGTGTGTGTGTGTATGTCTGTGTGTGTGAGTGTGTGAGAGTGTGTGTCTGCCTTGCGGTCTCACCTTGCCCCCGTAGTCTCTGCCATCTCTGTCCAGTCTCAGCTCTGCGGTGTGTATGTGGGACTGGGAGTGTGTGTTGGGAGTGTGTGCATTATGTGCGTGAAGGGTGTGTGCGTGTGGCAGAGGCAGGGCTGGGTGCGGGGCCAGGGAAGGTTTGGCAGCCAGCGGGTACTTCCTGCGGAGCTCTTCGGGCGCGTTGGGATGCAGAGCGCCGAGCAGCGCAGCCGCCGCTGCCGACACAGTGACAGGCAGGTGTGAGGTGGACAGGGGCAGGCGCTGAGGAGGCGGGTCACTCAGGTTCATCGGCTGCTGGTCCTCGGACGATGAGGAGGAGGAAGTAGGCGTGCTGAAATCCAGTGGGGCGGGGCCACCGTTGCCATTGATGACATCGGTTTCCCTGACTATAGCGCCATCCGTTACAGCGGAGGAAGGAGGGGTCAAAGCAGGAAGGCCGTTTCCACTGCCACTCTCTGAGGATGAATCCTCTGAAAGGACAGACAGAGAGAGAGGTTACATTTCACGAATTTGTTTTAAATGTTTATTTCCTGATTCTAGCTGCAGGCGAACGCAGAGCTGAAGGGCATTTTCTCACATTAACAACTAATGAAGTTACAGACACACAGACGTGGTTGATGGTAAAAACAACAGCTCATATTTATGATGTGTGGACAAAGACATACAACAAACAGTCAGCCATGTATGGTATGCGCTACATATAAATCTACATTCAAATATAAATCTTTCAACAAGGACATTTAGGCCCTAAACCTCTACCTCTAGTGGTGTTTAGCCATGCAGATAGATTAGATTTTACTGTGCCCATGTTCTCACATATCCATCTTTAAGATTTCTGTCAACACACCAAATCGGTGGATTTGGCTGAACTTTGTTTGCGGTGCCCAAAGCAAGTAAACAGCAACATCAACATGTCTTTCCATAAACCATGTGTCTGTTTCTCTGGATAATCTACAAACCTCAGTGTGAGTCAGCTACTTTCTAACAATGCACATAAAACCAAAACTACCTGCATGATTTAATGCTACAAGAGACAAAATATGTTTTCTGTGATTTGAGTGATTTAGCGCTGTTGGAATATGTGAGCTGCACATATTCTTTTAAAACCCTTGTTTTTTTCTATAAATGTTTTATGATTTTACAGCTTTTACTTTATAGATTATATACTTATATACTACGTGTTTTTCTCTATTTCACTCTTTCATCTCTTACTTGTCTGTATGTTTTGCAAAGTGCTATATAAAGAACACTTTCGTCCTGATAAGCTGTAAAGAGGTATTCTGAGTCTTCCTTCTTCCTTAGCACCCAAGGAAGCTTGTGACTCTGTACTGCTTCAGGCCAAGTTAAGGCCATAATAACTGGATGACCTTAACATTAAGTGAACATAGTGCATCAGAAGAAGAATGCAGAAAAACAACTTAGTCAAAACACAATGCTCTAAATCAATTACGGAAAGGGCAATTCTAGAGCTGGCTTTGGCATTTAAAAACAGCCAATAAGCTACATACGTTATTGTACATCGTGTCACTAATCATCATTATCATTCCCAGGTGTGTATGCTGTTTCAGAAAGTACATGTGACACGTGGAACCTTATTGGTGTGACAACAACATAATACAGCAAAAAACTCCCAATTGAAATGGTCAGATGTCATATGACTGCTGTTAGAGACACTGTCCTGAATTGACATACACACATAAATACACTATTTACAATAGTTTAATGGCTATTTTTAATGCCCAGCAGATGGCAGGATGGAGAGTCTTACAAACTGTCTTTACTTTCTGCTTCTGATATTATTTCTCCATTCTTTACTCTCCTATAGTATCAGCTATAAAACTGTATTTGTTGCAGAACAGTTGCATTCCAAGTGTTCATTTTATTATTGTGTACACCCCTACAAACTAAGCCTCACAGCTGGAATGAAATTGGGTGACAGTTGCTGTCTTCCTGTAACCAGCAGGACGGTGACAACGATGACAATGACACAAGGAAATAATCTCCAAACTGTAGGAGGAACATATTGAGTTATCAAATGATGCTGTTCTCTAAAGCTACAAGCTGTGTACTGACTGCTAAGGCCTTCCTGAGTATCAGCAATTAAATTAGGTTGATTGAAATAACGGCAAAATATTTTTTTTCAGCTTGGGTAGTTTTTCCAACGTACCAGAGATGTGGTTTTGTGTTGTGAGTGAAATGCATCGTGAGTCCTCAGAGAGAGACTGCAGCTGCTGTGGAGGCTATTGTTACGGGTCGAGCGGACCGCGGCAAAGAGAGCAGTGTCTGTTTATATGATTAAACCCAACCAGTCTGCAGCCTGACCAGACAATAACACAGTCCTATAATATGACCCCTCCTTCGTCTCTCATCCCCCTTTTGTTAGTCAAGTTCCTTCCTCAACATCTAGACCAGTAGTTCCCTACATGTGGGTTAGCAGTGGTGGTAGAAGTATTCAGATCCTTTCCTTAAGTAAAACTACCAAAACAACAATATAAATACGCTGATACAAGTAAAAAAAATCAATGTCAGCAAAACGACTCGTTCTGGAGAAAACTGACCTTCACTGACATATTATTACATATCATGTTACATCATTGAGTAAGCAGCATTTTACTGTGGTGGAGCTTGTTTATCTACTTTAGATACTAGTTTAGTCTAGTGGTTCTGAATTTAGGAAACAAACATCTGCATCTTGACAAGGGGCCCAAAGCAGACGCAACTTTTTTTGTAAGAGGTCACAAGCCAAAAACATTGAAAATCACTTGTTTGATCTTGATCTGAAAAGTTAATTAGTAACAATAGAAAACAAATGAATGTAGTGAAGTAAAAACCAATATATAATTATTTACCCCACTTGAAGTTGGGACAAGAGGTTGCAAGATAAATCTAAAAAAGTCACAAGATGCCTAACATGCTACACAAAATTATACTTATTTCTTTAAATATTATGAACTTGTGAATTACTGAATAATTATACTTCTTCAGTCGTTTCAGAAATACTCAGATAAAACAGAAAAAACTCTTCCAACTTGTTCGGTCGGTTTACCTGGACATAAACCAAATACAAATGCAACCAATGATGATGGTTTGCAAGTAAGGGGACACCGGCTGAAAAGGCTGGACACCACTGATCTAACTGAGGCTGAGTTAACATCACCTGAAACCCTCCACACGCAGACAATTTGCTATTTCAAATCTGATCATGCTGACTGTTAAGTTTCACCGTTGTTGTGTTGTTGCTCTGCGACTGCTAGACTCAACTCACAGAGCCTCAGATACCAGCTGTTGAGAAATATCCATCTAATCAATCCATATTTTGTGGTTTTAAGTTGCCAATTTTAGGTTTAAATGGTCTCTAATCTCATGAAACGCTAAAGAAAAGGAAGTTTTTATTGGTGTTAAACGCTTCAGTATTTATTGCTGAATAAGGTTCAATATCTCTTTCTATCTCTGTCTGTATCTCTTTTCAGGGCAGACAGGCTACTAAATAAGTGATCATGGAATAAATGGTGTGTGCCAAGCGGGCTGGCAGGCAGGCAGGATGGATGCCTGTCCGCCTGACTGTTAAGTTTTATTGTTCTGAATAGACTACTGGTCCCACATGCACACAAACAATGAAGCTTTCCTCTTTGCACAAGACAAGAGAGAGGAAGGATGGACAAACCTGGAAAGACACTTTTCAAATTTCAAACATTAGCCTACATGCAACTTATAATTTCACCCCAATTTATCGTTTGTTTATTACGGTTTGCATTTAATATGCACCACAATTTTTCCAGCATCACAAAAGCACAAAAAGAAAAGCCATGAATAGGGAGATTTTGACTGATGAACATAGAGAGAAAATGAATGAGAGAGCAGAAAGATCGGATGAATGAGCTCAAATAGAAAGAGAAAGATGATTGGAGGGTAGAGAAACGGAGAGGGATAAGAGGAAGAGGAGGTCATTTGAATGAGTCAACAGTGCAAAAAAACAAATATAGTAGCTGGATTGTACAGAAAAGAAAGTGATGTATAGAAAGAGAAAGAGCGGGGGCTGAGGATGGTATCGACTGTGTCATTCGTTCGGTGGGGGAGGGAGGGGTGGAGCCAAAACTGCTGCATGGAGAGAGGGAGAAATGGGTGGAGGCACAGTGGTAAAGAGGGAGAGAGAGAAATGGTGATACACTATCCAGGGAGGTACAGCCAGGCAAAAGGAAAGAGGTCAGGAGGGGGGGGGGGGGGGGGGCATGGCTCGGGGGGGGGGGCAGCAGGAGGAGGCGAGGAGAGAAGGGAGAGAGGAGAGGATGAGGGAGGATTGAGATGGGAGGGGGAAGGGTGGAGAGATTGAGGCAAAGAGGGACAGGCATGTGGGAGAGATTTTTAGATCTCTTTTTCTTCTGTGCCTCTCACAGTCACCATTAAATAGTGACAGTATATTATGTTGTCTAGTACAGAGTATAGACATTAGTGCAGTTATGTATTCTGTATATAGTATTGTAATGTGTTTTCTAACATTATTTATTTCTACACTTACATCTTAAACATTGTAATCTTATTTGGCTTAATTGTAGTTAATTATGGCCGTGCGTAAACAGCATTAATTTGAATTTACGAGAGAGAGACAGAGAGAGAGGAGGGCATGATGAATAAAAAGTGAAACGAGAGGGAGTGAGCAAGAGGGAAGCCCTGGGACCTGGAGGTAGAAAAGCATGGCAGAGTGTGTTTATGAGTGTTCATGAGTAGAGGCGAAGGCCAACCTAATTCCTGTCGTCTTGACACAAATCCCCCCCTTCAGCAGCAAGACCTCCGTCACCGCCTCTGCATCCCTCCATCGCCGCCCGACTACACAGGGATCTCTTCTCTCCTCCTAGGCTTTCGTCACGTCTATTCTTCTCCTTTCTCTGTCCACTGGCCCTCTCTCTTTTGTCATATTCTCTCTTTCACACACACACACAAACAAGACGCAGCCTCCCTCATCCTCCACCTCTATTCCTACTCCCTGTCTGAATCAGGAAGAAACAGGAGGTACCATGTCCTGCCTCTCTTTCCTTTCTGCTGGGATCAGACAACATGGTATCAGCTAGACAACAGTCTGATTTGACAGAGGTGGGGTGGTGAGAACGAAAGGCATGACAAATTTGTTGTTTCCTTGTGGGGGACCGCTAAACCCCTAAAGACCCTGAAAGTACATTTTCTCCATCGGCTTCTTATTATGAGCAATGGAGTCCTACATGAACGCACAATTTTCTACAACTGTTTTGTTTTTGTTTTTGTGCCCTTCTCACAGAAAAAAAACAAATATTTCATGTCACAAGATAAATCCTTTTCAGGGGCTTTAATGCTACAGGATACATTTTAGACAATAGTGTGTTTGGGAAGTGCTCTTTAATAATAATAATAATAATAATAAGATGTTCAGCAATCACATGTGTAGGTGTCCACATACTTTTGGCCATACTGTGTAGTCTGACAATGTCTACAACATCAT